TATATACAGTAAAACCTGTCTATAACGATACTGTAGGGACCTAAATAAAATATTGTTATAGTCAGGTTATCGTTATAGATAGGTTTGAAATTTAAAAGTATACGTTTAAAACTAATGATAAATTAAACTTCTTTTATAGGCTCCAAATGAAAATTTTACTTAGAATTATGAAACAGCACACAAGAAAAATTTATTTACAATTTTATGAATCAAAACAGAAATTATTTAGAAAAATAATCGGTTAGTTTTGTTTGCTTATTTTTGGAAGCAATTGCCATTTCCATGCACATAGATTTCAGTCCATCTAATGAATTCAAATGAACATCAGTTACATTTGGTAATGTTGCAACAAAATCTTGCAAAGTGTTAATTAGCAATATGGCATTCTCGGGTGAAATTTGAGTCCTGTTTTGAGAACAGTCAGCTGCTTCTTCTTCATCACTTTGATCACCCGGGATAACTTCTGCTAAAATCTTTTCATCACTTGCACCACCGAAAACCAACACATCATTATCTAAATTTAAAAATTCATCTGCGTTAAATAGAAATGATGTATTAGATGATCTTTGGAAATCACTGACAATCGAATTTAAGCCTGCCAGACATTTTTCTTCTTCATCAGTGATTTCAGTAAGATCAGTTTCTGCGTTTCCGTTGCTTTTATCCTCAACGAAAGAAGCTTTCTTCCTGTCAATTTTTTAAGCAAAAACTGATAAAAAGTTATTCTCTATTAATCAAGGCAAGTTCTACCTACCCCGTTCTCCAGGACTGCCACATTAGGAGGGTAATAAATATCAATTTGTTTACTGTACAAAGTAATCCAACATGCTTTAGGACAATCACTTTAATAACGAAATATAGCAAACAAAAGAAGATAAACAATTAAACATATAATTATCGTACGGAGCTCAACATGCTTGTTCTCAGATCGAGATATTAACATCAACTGGTGGCGCTGTGGGCGCACCAAAACAACATGCGCAGGAGAGCTATTGCGAGAATTCGCAACACTTCCTACAATTTTGGATGGTGGATTGTGTCAATGAATTCCACCCTCCGGAAATTCAATCACATGCATTTTTTACATCAACTGCATAAGGATTTGGGAGTTTATTATCCAGATTATAAACAACGTTCTGAACTAATCTTGTTCGATAGTATTCTTTGAAACATTTTATTATTCCCAAATCTAATGGCTGTAGAATCGACGTGCTATTTGGGGGGAAATAAAAGGTTTAGCGTATTTGCCTATAACGAACGGCTTCAGTTTATCGGTTCCAGTACTGTTTGCACAAAGTAGAACAGTTAACCTCTGTTTTGATTTTTTACCGCCTTTACAATTTTCTAACTTAAATGCCATTGTTTTATCTGGCATGAGCTGATAAAATAAGCCAGTTTCATCAGCATTTCTGACGAAGCTCTCTCCCTCCTACAATACCTTTTCACCCATTTCTACTGCTCTAATTTCCCCTAAAAGTGGCATTTTTTCTCAGAAACAACGAAAGAATATTGCATACAAAGGAGATGGAAAAAAAAAACATTTTGTTATCTCACATTTAAGTTCGATGGGGAGTCGTTTTCCAACGGTAGAAAAATCGGAATGGAACTATCAACTATCAAAAGAGGAAAAATTATCGCTGTAGACATGTTTAACTGAAAAGTGGTCATCGCTATAAACAGGTTAAAAATACATTGAGTAAATAGGAATTTCACCGGGACCTCAAGGAAATATCGCTACAGACAGGTTTATCGTTATAGACAGTATCGTTATACACAGGTTTCACTGTATATGTCATACTGCTCACCTATGGCTGTGTTCGAACTTTGAAAAAGAAATCGCACTGCATTTTGATCCATCTCATTCAAAGATATTTGAAGGAAAGCTTTTTCGATATCTGCCAACATGAATACATGAATTCAAACGAAAAAATATAAGCATGTTAAAAATCAGGGGATTTAGGCAAGTCCTGCGTATAAGCAGTCGTTTAAGGAAAGTTCACCTTCTTCATGTGAGCTGGCATCAAAAACTATTCGTTTACTAGACAGAACCGACTGATTCTCTGTAAACCATCGAAAATGATAGATTAAATAACGGTTTATCTGCCAGTACTTTGTCTTTTGGGACTTCTATGATACCTCGATTTTCGTAGTTTTTCAGAATGACACGATAATCTACATACAGTTCTGAGTGTCTCTCAAATTTTCTAATCAAATGATCTAGCCGTCCTCTGGCAATTGTTAAGTTATCGTTTAATTCCCTAAAATCATGTTTCCATGGTAGCCTAACATGATACCTCCCTTCACTGTAATCTACAGAATTTTTAAAAGCAGCTAAAGCTGTACTTTCCTCATCTGAATTATCATTTGCAACTATCCCAATTGATTCTAATTCCCAAAATTTATTTAACCCTTCATAAGCATACATATGAAATAACATTTGGAATCATGTGAGTGTGTAGAGGGGATCGAACCTGTAACCATCCATCCGAAAACTGTTTCAATTAAAATAATAGAATTACCCCTTAATCGAATTTGATTTCCTTTTAACAATTCATAAAATACGTCACCTCCTAAAAGAATCGATATTTTTTGCGGTAAATAAAAATTAGGATTAGCGTACTTTACGTTTTCGGGTAAATTCAAATTACAAATGTTTATTTTTTCCGAAGGAGCATTTCCTGCTATTTCTGGCAAAATTAACAATTCAAGCTCCTTAGGAACATCCTCAGCATACTCGATTAAATCTTTTCAGTTATCGGAAATACTGTATTTTTTAATCCAATTAAATTTGACCTTCAGCGCGATCTTTTTAAATCATATAAATTAGCTGCCTCTTCAGCAATAAGAGATTTCATACTTCCAGAATTGCCCAGTCCTGTCAAATGCAAATATTTTCCGTTCGTTTGTAATATTTTAACTTTCACAAAGAAAGAAGAACATTTTATTTACATTAAAATAATACAAAAATGGTGCGTCTTGCGGTTTGCTATTAATTCCATCTTGCATTTGTGATTTGTGACTTCTTGTTGCGGAAACTGAATTAATTCTTTCTTTCCTGCTCACTGGCGCCACACCCGCATTTTTGTTTTGATTTTGTCGGTCGAAGAAAAAGTTCGCTCCGTGTAACATTGCACTTTGATTCTTGTTACAAGATTTACATTTTAAATGAATTTTCTGACATTTAGACATTGTATGAAATCCGAGACAATTAAAACATAATTTATGCCTAATAACACATCTTAATTTATCATCTGCATTAGAATCGATAAACTTTTTACATCTGAAAATAGGGGGCAATTCCGTGCGTCTTAATAAACAATTTTTTTTTTCGCTTTTCACCATTAGCGTTTTGAACTTTGGAGTACGTTCCCGTTTAAATTCTCCTGAATTCCTGTTTACATTTTCTAGTGCTTGACTTCTTTTAGCTAAGAATTCCGTAAATTTTTCCCAACTCGGAAATTCGGAACCAATTTCATTTCGTATAATTTACGTGAATTAATATAAATTCATTGAATAATTATATAAATTAATATTGCTTCGCAAAGAGGGTTCGTTTCTAATTCTAGTTGTTTTAATGATAGATCATCATTGTTTTTTCTTTTAAAAAAAGATAAAAAATATTATTTCGCTTAAGAAAATATATAATTTTGAAATTTTTTGTAAGCTCATTTTATATTTTTTGCTGAACGTAACGAAATGAAAGTATACCTGGATTTATGAGCAATCAACTGTTTTTGAAAAAAAAAAGAATTTAAATTTGGGAATATAAAACGTATGATACAATAATAAATGATAAAGGAAAAGTAATTTTAGTTGATTGCAATATATAACGATACATATTACAGTTTACATTGGAAATAATTTTCATCTCTCTTAGTCTTAAAATTTTTAGAAATTTCGATATAAATACTATGATTTATACCTGACAACATTTAATTTTTCTCTTATTTTTTCATCTTGTTTTGCTTTGCTACTTTTGACATCAAGTCATCAAGAATAAAGTGAATATCACAAGAACGTTACATTTCTCTTCAATAGTACATAAATAATTGTTATTTAAAAAAAAATGATTGCCTAAAATAATTCAAAATTGCAATAACTTTTAAACGAATTGGAATTTCGATAAAATTTAAAAGCTCTCAAAAAATAATACAAGATGGTCCTATCAGTGCGTCAAATTTCAAATCAGTAGTAGCATTTCAGCAGCAGTGGATCGACTAACACGGTTTTTCTTTTTTTAATACAAGTTAATAGTAAATAATTCTCCAACTAATATCGATTGTTAAATTTTTTTTTATCCATCGTAATCCCTGTCAAATTTTTCCACACACCTTAGTAATTTTAAGTCTCTAAATCTTAAGAAAAACAATACGTTACATTACAACATACTCTAAAGATCAGAAAAACAATACGTTACATTAAGGTGGACTTCCAAAACAGCGGCAGCGGTTTTTCTAACTTAGAGAAATTAGATAATATACAAGTAATCATCAATTGCATGACTCTGCTAAATTTTCTCTCTATATTTAAAAAGATTAATTAGTAATTTTTAAGATTTTTTCACAATAGAGATAATTCATAATTATTTATTAATTCATAATTATTCATTATGAGATTCATTATCCCATAATTATTCATAATTATTTATTATGAGATAATTTATGAAAAATTTCAAATTTATTACGCATTAATCTAGGAATTAATTTATTGTAATTTTAAGCAATTTTAAAATTACAATCAGTTTATTTTAAAGTTGATATTGCACAAGTTTTTTTATAGTATTCAAATATTGTTATTTTTATGTTGTTATAAATTTTTAATCATTAATCGAAAGGATTATGCCAAAAAAAGTAACATTATAACTACAATATCCTAAATAATTTCTGGGAAGTTTACACAGTTAAAATATTGACATTTTTTGTTGTTGCAGGTTTTGCTAGTCACTTATCGGCAAAAGCCTCAGAATCTCAGTCACAAGGTAATTGAATTTAATTTTGCTAATCATATTTATTATCATACCTCTACAGACATTATTAAAATTCAAGTTAATGTATTCAACATTATAATCTAATTAAAAAATTTTAGCGTTTAACTATTTTTCCTTGTGCAAGACTATTTAGTATATTCCAACTCAAATTTTTTCGTATTGTGTTTAAGAAATTTAAAAAAAGTTTTACTAATAAACATTTAGGGGAGAGCAGGGTAAAGCCAGGTATCTAGATATAATCAAAATTAGTTCTCTTTTACAACGGGAAAAACTCTAACTTTACTAGAAAAATATATTATCATATTGGCATGTTATTGTTGATTGATTCACGGCGTCTATGTGAGAGACTTTCCTTCGTGGAAGACTCTTTGATGGCACTAACCAGCAGTTGTGTTACATGGTGATGAAAACCACGAAAACCTCCCATGGTTAGCCTGCAAGCAAGGGGATCCGAAACCCATGATCCATCTACCTCTGATGATATTTTACGTCATCACTGTGGTAGGTGCGAGCCGGGTGCGGAATTCGTATCGACTAGCGATAGCTGGGATTCGACCCTAGTTCACCTCATTGGAAGGCGAACGCTCTATTCCCTGAGCCACCACGGTTCTTATATAGATATATTTTATAACCGTCGTTGAACAGCCGACCCAATTTTTTGGGTTTACGACTACTAATGCTCAACTCCATATCCTTGTAAAAAAGTTTGAACTCAATCCGGAAGACAAGGGAATTTCTGAATCAAGTATTGGGAGAAATTAACCTTCATGGAGGACTTTTTGATGGAACTAACCCACATTTGCGTTACATGGAGAGAAAAACCATTTTATTTCGAAAAACTCGAATAAAAATTAAATTTTTTGCAAAAAATTTTGGTCGGGCCCTCAGCCGCCGCTCCGCGCCCCGTACAATTGTCTCTCTCTTTCTTCTTAGGGCTGACATGTAAATTAAGTGCAAATTTTTTTTTTAAATGACAAATAAATTAAAAATGTCTGCAACTTTTTCACTGAAATTCTAGTATTTCTAAATTTCTCACATAGTTCATAATTATTCATAATTTATTAATAATTATAATAAATTCATAATTATTACTAATCCTATTTAGAAATTATTCTAAAAAAATGATTTACTTTAAATTCAAATAATGAACAGGATTCTAGATATATATGGCACAATTTTCAGAAATTTGCCAAAAAAAAGTTTAAGTAAAAAGTAATAATGTTAACAGATGACAAACATTTTAATCTGTAAAATAATGTTAAGCTCAAAAATTTTAACTTGTTTAAAAAAATTTAGAAAAATAGATTTTTATTGCATCAAAGAAAATATAACCTCCCATATTTTTCTAATTTCTTTCGTTTCCATACGACAAATTAATTTCTTTATTCATTTTGCAAAGCCATACACATTAATGCTTAAATAAACTTGATAAATATGATTTTGTTTTCAATTAGAACTGTATTTCTTTAAATCGATCTTATGAAAAAGTTATAAAATATGTGATTTATAAAAATGTTAAATGAACCTTCATGTAAGTTCATTTATTTTTTATTTCAGTAACTGATCCATATCAATTATTGAGTGCTGCAAGTAGTAGGTTAGCATCACAAGGTAAGAAAATTTAAGAAAACCAATTCTTATATAGTAATTCAAATATTTATTGCTTGTTTGCATATTATCTATAATTACGTACTTTACAAAATTGGGTACTTTTCGTTTAACAGAGCGCAAGCAAAAAATCGCAACTTTTCTGCCAACTTTCGCCGCCAAGATCTCCGCCAACTTTTATTTATATTTTCTTTATATTATATATTTTTTAACACAAAAAATTCAATAAAATAAAAAATATTCAATAAAATTCAATAAAATAAGAAAATTCAAAAAAATAAAAAAATAAATTTAGAAAAAAGTTTAATTTCCTTGCGCCTTGATTACTGAAAAGTACCAAAAATTGTTATTTCTCCTAAATTTCCTTTAAGTTTTTTTATATTCTTAACATAGTCTCAATGCATTTTTGCCTTCAGATCACTAAATTAAGATGGCGTAAATGAGAACTAATATTATTTGTTTCACAATTAACTGCATTTTATGATAAAAATAAAAAAATAAAAATTTTGCAAAGGCTTATTGTTACGGAATCATAACCTCAAAGCTAGAAAGTTTCAATTTATTTTATATTTTAAAAATATAAATTTAAAAGTTTAACTGAAATCCAGCTGCCTTGGCCCTAAATAATTAAAAAAAAAACCTGTAGAATTCAGACAGATGAAAATATACGAAAAAAAGTAGGTGGTTCGAAAAAGATTTTTCGTAAATCATAATATAGGAAGAAAAATAAATAATAAAAGAATAAAAAATTAACGATATTTAATTTATGCAAAACATTTTTAGCATAGGATTTGATGAAAATGTATTCTGCCGCGCATTTAAAAATAAATAAATAAATGTTTTGAAAAAATAAAATAAAGTAAGAGCATTGCGGCAGATTTTGAGAAAACAGACTGGATAACTACAGTCAAACCCCGCTATAGTGAACCTTCAAGGGACCGAAATATAAGTTCACTATAACCGGGTGTTCACTATACCCGTAAAGCAGGCAATTTAACTAATGGTTCCCAAACTCCTCCCTTTTATTACACATTATTCAAATAAATGACTAAAAAATATTATGTAGTAACAAAAAATGTGTTATTTTTCACTACTCTTCGTCTTGCGTAAAAAAAAATTAGTAATCCTCTATATATAAAAATTAGAAGCTGATGAGCAATCCTCTACATCAGTTATGGAAACACTTCCCGACTCTCAGATAATTTTTCCTGAATTTCTGTTATTCCGTTTTTTAAGCCTGTCCAAACAGCCATTCGAGCACATGAAAGTAGTCTCATAAAATCACTTAGCAAATTTATCCACATTTGTCCAGATTGCGGCTTCTTCTAATGGTGAGCCACTTCAGTAATGTTACTTCAACATCCTTGTGATCTGCTGTTTTCAACTTTTTTCTGCCATCTAAATTTTTTTCATGAGCAGAAATTATTAATTGCCCATTTTTCCATATGTTACAAACTTCAGATTTGGATAGTTTATATTCTCTGAAAATATCAGCAAAAATTGAAGAAAAAAATCAGTCGAAGACAGAAAAAAGTTCATTTTATCCAACTTCCTCACTTTTTTGGTTCACTATATCCACAAAACATAACATTACGCGTGTATAGCAAGACACGGGATCGAACATTTGGTTCACTATATCCGGGCTGTTCACTATAAGCCGTGTTCACTATAGCGGGGTTTGACTGTATTTTCTTTCCCTTACTAATACTAATGACGCTCAAATAGAATTTCAAAAAACTGATAAAAAAATTAATTTTTAAAAAAATTTTGTTTTTGCCACGTGATGCTCATCTTAAAAAATATCAAATATATACAATTTTGAATTTATTTTTTTCCGCTTACGTTGACTTCTCTGTAGCACAGCAGCATTACTACTTTTATAATAGTTGTTTTAGTCAGATCTTCAAATAATCGAAGTTGTTTATTCAAATTTATGCGCATTTGAACTCCCTGAACCTTTTATACAGAAGAAAAGAACAATAACATATGGTGATACCAACTTATCTATCGATAAGTATTATGCTATTAATAACTTTCCTTTTAAGAGTGTAAAACACATTGCTTTATTGACAATCCAATCTATATCCATTAAAAACGTATGCTCCCTTTTAATAAATAGAAAATTATTCAGATTATTACGCGAATCATTAAGTTTGAGTTTTTATTTCTTTTTCTTTTAACCTTGAAGAAACCTCAACCCTAGCCATCTTGGATTTTAGATCAAATTTTTGATTCGTGTTTNATGCTATTAATAACTTTCCTTTTAAGAGGGTAAAACACATTGCTTTATTGACAATCCAATCTAAATCCATTAAAAACTTATGCTCCCTTTTAATAAATAGAAAATTATTCAGATTATTACGCGAATCATTAAGTTTGAGTTTTTATTTCTTTTTCTTTTAACCTTGAAGAAACCTCAACCCTAGCCATCTTGGATTTTAGATTAAATTTTTGATTCGTGTTTTCATGATATTTGTTTTGTGCTTAACAAAATTTTGATGATATAGTTATTATTAGCGAGCACAATACTTTTCTAAAAAAAAAAGCGTTTGAAATTTTTTCGAATTTTCGTAAAATTTTCTTCATAACTAAAGCAATAAATTTTTGAGGTTCTGAGTAAGTGATTCAAAACCCCACATTTGTCAGTTTTTAGAGTTTTTAAAATTTAATTTATAACAGTTTAAACTGATAAAAACCTATCAGGATGATCCTAGATAGGATGGTTTGGTTTTTCCTAGACCGTTTTGGCAACGTGTTTACTAGACCGATTTGGATGATATTTGGATGACTCTTTCTTTTTCTTTTTTTTTAAAGTAGAAAATATAGGAGGCGATTTATTATAAATAGCGCTTGATAATATTATTTAGAACTTTTATGGAGTTTTCCTCAAAAGTTTCAAGCAATAAGTTAATGTGATTTGTGGTTTCGTTTAGAGTAAGCAATTTGAAACCACGCTTATCAGTTTTCAGATATTTTAAAATTTAATTTTATTACTGTTTAAACTGATAAAAACCGATTTGGATGATACTAAAAAATCCCTCAAATGTTAATTACACAAAAACAAAGATATTCATCAAAAATCTAAAAATTGACAGCTGTGTATTATTTAACTACCTTTAACAATCTGTTGATTGGAGAATTGAAGCGGTCAATGTTAAAAGGGGTATGCAATATTTTTACGAAAATAAGTTTTTTGTTAATTTTTGATATCGATGACCGATTTTCAAATACCGAATAATTTTCTAGACTATCTGAAGAAGAGAATGCAGCAATTAGGAAGCAATTAAAACAATCTTTCCACAATTAACTCATTTTTTTTTTCTTCTCGAAAGTGCAGATTTGTAATGTATTCTGTGTGGGAAAAAAAAGATAGAGAATCTTAAGAACCTCACACATTATATCTCAGATTCTGATTTGGTAACGGTCTTGTATTTTACATGTATCGAAACTGTCATCAGTTTATTTCACACAGACTAACTCTTAATTTTATTATTATTTCTAGTTGAATAAAAATCTGTTCCCCGTTCAGTGTTAAAAAATTAAACTATCAACAAGTCAGTGTTAAACAACAGAATCATGCACAAAACTGAAAGGTATATACCAACCCACTTAATAGAGCTAAAATAATTCCAGTTTTTTTTTAATTTTTTGTTTTTATCGCTGCCGGTGGCTTTACGTTATTAGATTAAGCAAAACATGCTTTTAGTAGTTTATCCCATGAAAAAAAGAGAAAAAAAATTAACTGCATTCAGTATCTTTTTAAATGATGTTATTGCTTGAAACCAATTTACGGTGGTCATAATTTACTACAGTTAAGTGATTTTTTTCTGGCACTTATCCCTTTCGATGGTCCATTAAACACATCTTCCCACACTATCTGCATCAATACTGCAGAGTATTAATGCAGTTTTCATATGTTCTAAATATACTACTTTTACCTACTTTAATATATTTGGTATGGATTAAAAATGCCCCAATTACCATATTACTAAAAGTGCTTATTACCAAAATTAATAAGCATCATGGGCTTCAAAAGATAGTATGGTGAGTTTTACTTATCTCCTAAACGAATTAGTGCCTTTTCTCGATTAATTATGCTTTTTTGTACATGGTACATTTAATTTTGATTTCAGTTGGTGGTTAGTACCTATTACCAAATGAATTAAGCATAATGTGTATTAGTAATAGTACGACGATTTACTACACTTCTCCTAAATGAATTAGTTTCCATTAATTTTTCGCTTTAGAAGATAGCTTATTTATTTTTTTTCCAAGGTACCTTTTACCAAAACAAATCAATCATCACAAACGTCGATATTAGAAGGGCTATTTTTTTACCTTTCTCCTAAACTATTTAGTACTATTCTCCATTAATTTGGCTCTTCAGTACATTATTTTTTTTTTAACTTTCCAATACCGTTGATTTCAAACTATTTAGTTTTATATAAATACGTTTTAAAAGCATAATTACATATTTTAAAAAAATTAAAAAATGCGTGGTTTCATACTACTAAGGAAATACTAATTTGATGACGTAGTCCGCCTATTTACCATGCCCACGCTAATCATTGAGTTAACGAATAAAAACTATTTAGATTTAAAAACGTACAATATACTACTTTTTTGATTAATGAGAGCTATAAGCACGCAAACATCTTTCATATTTTCCTAAAAATCGTCTGCAGTTTCTTTTATATTAATGGCGCTAAATCAAGGAGAAAATTCCCTTTTTTCCTTTCTCTCCTCTGAACGATCTAATTTAAGTTTTCAGTCGAAATAGCGTTAAAAAACTTGGGAAGGGGCATAACGTACAATCGGGGGAAAAGAAATTTAAGTATATTTTTTGAAAATTGACAAGTAACGAAATGAAATACAAGAAAAAATATGTAATCACTACATGTTCTTTTTCTCTCTTTTTTGTTGTTGTTGTTGTTGCTGTTTTTAGATAGGATTTCAAGAATATCGCTCTCAATACTTACTATTGTTTGCAGATTTGATTTAAGGCTTTCATTTGTAAATTTTTCCGAGTTTTAATGCTTTTAAACTCGAGAACAGTTCTAAGTATAACCTTCGATATATTTTTGCCTATCTTTATCGTTTTCAGCACTATCATCTGGCGTAGACATTAAATCAGATATTGAAAAGTAAGGGGATGTGTGTTGCAGTTGATATGCTCTTCTTCGACTTCGGAAGATCTTCAGACATGCAATTTTATACCGAAAGGTCAATGTTTCTGTTGAACACCGAAAAGCTTTATTAAACCTATTTGTAATGCACCTGAATCGTCCCTGTCCCACGCTCTGGAAATCTTAAATGAGAGCTTCCAGGACATTCATTTTTGTTTTAGAAGCATCTTGCAGGTCATCGTTATCAAAGAAAAGAAATAAGTATCTTACCAATTGTTAAGTGTAACGTTCTTTAAATGATTGGATAATTTACAAGATTCAAAGTTTAAGTTTGCAGCAAAAAACTCCACTTGCAAATTTTACAATTTCTCCTCTCACAGACAATAGGGCAGTAAGATAAAATAGAAAGAATGTGAGAAAAGTTCCAAAAAGCAAATAAACAAGTCTCTTTTTTTAAGAAAAGAAAATGAGAAAAAGAAAACTTAGAAAAAGTTTGTGCGAGCTTTGTAGAGAAAAAACGATTTTCATCAGTTTTAAAAACGTGTAAAGCGGGATTTTCTTAAAAAGAGTAAAGTAAAATCCGGGATAATTTAACATTATCGGTATAGGCAATTTTCAAGGATCAGTAGAAAATGATGTAGGAAACGGGATAACGTATAAAACAGGACAACGTAAAATAAGGGTTCCACTATATATATTTTCTTCTGAATATCGCATTCTCCGAAAGTGCTTAAGTCTTGCTGCGTTTTTTTTTCCTTCTAAATTATATCTGAAACATACTTAATGATTATTTTTTCCATTTAATATGATTTAATTGTGCGTAGAGATTAAAGATTCATAGTTTGTTTTACTATTTTTTTGTTAATGTATATCGCTAGTTTTAGAATATATTTTTTGTCTTCTAACTGTTATCTCATTAGATCTTCCGTTTCTCCAACTAAACAACCAACTTTTAATACAATCTTGATGAAAGTATATTATAAGTTTGATTTTTCAAGATAAATTTTTAGTAGATATTTTTTTTAAAAATTAAAAGACAATAATTTTTTTTTTAAAATCTAATTTCATGATAAAAAAATTTTGCACTGATACAGTTTTCTTAGTCTTTTATGAGCTTGATCTCATCGTTCCGATTCAGAGCATATTTGATATTACATAGTATAGAATATTTATACTATAATATTAGAAATATCTTAAATTCTTGTGACAAAAAAATCAATTTTAATTGTTTCTTTTTTTATCTGCAATTTTACTGAAATGTTTTAAAATTCAAACATTAGAAAGTTTACGGCAACGGCATAGCGGGGAAAAAAAACTTTTAAAACAAAGCAAATAAAATACTTATTTTGAACAACCGATTATAATTTATGATGCAGTTAGTTTTTATGATCAATTTTCTGTAAAAGTCCTTTGATACCAGAAATTAGTGCTATCCTCGTTTTGTGTTAAAACGCAAGTGCCAACCAGAGGTTCCAAAATTTCAACAATCTCGCGACTAAACTGATGAGATCACACTTCTAAACTGCAACTAATCTTCAAATTTTTAAAAATCAAAAATCCGTATCCATTAGGTAAAAAAACAACAAATTTTTTTTTAGAAATCATGCGCGTTTGTATGTGATATTCATGGGTACTAGCAAGGAGTGCCAATAAGGAGCGCCCCTGTGAATCCAATAAGTTAAAAATTACATATTTCTTTTAACTGTGACTGATTTTCTTTTTTAAGTAGCTATAAATAACGCTTGTTTCGTGTCAAATTGAATCTACTCATAACTGAGCGATTCATAAACTTGGGACAAAAGTTGAATTTTAAAAATTAATTACATTTTTATGACTTATATTTTTTGTCTTGATCGATAATATTTTTTCTTAACTTGAAGATTTAACAAACAAGACTTGCACAGAGAATTAAAATATTACAAAACACCAAAAATCTCTTTGTTTTTCTTCCGTGCTTGAAATATATTTAATAAAGCGTTTTATGTTTTTAAAGGACATTAAATGTTTACATTTATTGTCCAAATTTGTTTGTTCAGTATATTTTATTTGATCATTATTGAAATTGTTTGCAAACATTTTTGCTATTTAAACATATAAATATTTTTCAAAAATGCAAATAAAAAAAAAGAATATTTCTTGGGTTGGAGGCCCTGTGGAAATTTCTGCAGGGGCTTTAGCTGATATTAAAAATTAAATGATAGTTTACTCTAAATAATTAGCACATCACACGAAAACCTATCAAACCACTGGTATTGTATTTATGTCAGTATATTTCTTAGTTTCATTTTTAATTGAAAAAGGCAGGAATTATACTTAAGTTTACATATCGAGTGTATGCAATGTTATTTTCGGTCAGTTCTCAACCTTCCATGATGTAGGAAAAAGTTTAAACTATTTTCAATTTAAGTTCTTACTGTTACGATTTTATGATTCTTTTTCTTAACAGGAAGTGGGCAGATTCAGCTTTGGCAATTTCTCCTTGAGCTTTTATCAGACAGCACCAATTCTAGTTGTATTACATGGGAAGGAACAAATGGAGAATTCAAGCTAACAGACCCAGATGAAGTAGCCAGGCGATGGGGCGAGAGAAAAAGTAAACCAAATATGAACTACGACAAACTTAGCAGAGCACTTCGATATTATTACGATAAAAACATCATGACCAAAGTTCATGGCAAGCGCTATGCATACAAATTTGATTTCCATGGCCTTGCCCAAGCTTGTCAACCAGGCGGTAATGATCCAACAACATATAAATTCCAATCTGATTTTTTCTTGCCAGCATATCACGCACCAAAATTAAATTATCTGACGCCAAGACCAAGCTCTATTCCAGCGACTTCCCAAGGGGCTCTGTTTAACCCGGCTATGTCCAGTTCATATTGGTCTGGTCCATCTCCAGCTTGTAATTTGTACCCAAACATACCTGGCCACTCACTGTCTCATCATGCCCACAGAACGAATGGACTGGGAGCTTATTATTAAATGAAGTCAAGATATGAAATGAAACTTGTGCGCTGTGAACTGTTCTAAACACGGAACATTTACTCTTTCATTCCGGTTCAGTTTGCATTAATTTTCTTTCTCCAGTGAAAATGAATTCAAATTTAATTGCATTTACAACATTTTCGACCTAAAAATCTAATTTTATCATTTAGGTATGATGAAAACTGGAAAAAAAATGATGAATTAACTCTTAATGTCACTCAAGTTGGAGTAAAACTTAACCATAAACTATGATGTGTACGTCAGTTTGGTACACACGATTCTAGTCAAAATAAGAAAAGCAGGTAAACCTGTGATCTGTGATTTGATTAATGTTTGCATCCACATCCCAGTGATTTCACTTATTTAAATTTTATTCAAACACTATTTCAATTATTTTTGTCCTTCAATTCAAGGAATGTGTAAGAAAATGTAAGCTTAAAGGAAATAAATTTCAGAGCTGATATTATATTCATGATGTAAATATAAGAATAAAGTTATGGAACTATTTATTTGAGTTTTTTGTTTCCTTCAGAACATTATATAAATTAAAAAATAGTCATATGATATAGGGCAAAGAGAGAAAAAAGATAAGGTGAAGTATACTGTGCTTTCTAAAAAATCTTCATACATAAAGTATGTAAGTCGTAATTTGTGTTAACTCTACTAAAAATAAATATCACAATGAGTCAAGAAAATTTATATTCTGAAAACATAAAAAAAATTATATAAAGACTTTCATAAGCTTAATATTTAACGTTAGTGATAACAATGATATTAACGTTAATGGCGATGATAATTTTTTTCAGGTAATATCTTAGTTTTTTATAAATAAGTAAATTATCCTAAAATATGAAACCAAGTTGCATTATTAAATTATTAATAAATAAAAGAAAAAGACAACTTTTCAATTAAGTAATCATAAAAAAAAACTTAATTAATAAATATATACAACACTCTGTATTTAATTGAATTTAAATCGCATTTAATCAACTGACAAAAATTTTTAAGATCAGAAAAAAACTGAGATAAAAAAATACTTCAAGATGCAATATGTTAAGATTTTTTGTTAATGAATAATAAATAAGATGGATATATAGATAGAAAAATAAGAATTACAATGCTGAAACCACTAAACTAATAAAATAAATTACTTTCATGATAAACACCAAACCAATACAAAAAGAAACTAACATATATATAATTTAATTGAAGTTAAGCCAAATTACAATTACCTATAATTATAACCAAAAAAAGGAAATGATAAAATACAAGAAAACTTATTATCAAATTAAATAAAAACACTTAAAAATTACAAAACGGGAAGGATAGTTAAGCATGAAGCTTGTACTTTATGTTTAACTATCTAGTGCTAACATAAATTTTAAAATCCATGAGAAGATAGAATATTATGAAGTCAACTGAATTAAAATAATCTTTTATCTAAAAAAAAAAAAAAAANTATTAAAAAAAAAAAAAAAAACTCATAACATAGTGGCATCAAAAATTTATCACTTTTATAAAGAGAAAGCTGCAATCTGCTTCATAAAATAATTGTACGTTTTTAGTTACAAATAATTGCATGCTAAAATTAATAAACGAAGATCTGCTTTTATTTCTTTACTAAAGCTGACCATTTTTAATTAATTGAAAGCATAAAAATAAATAATAAAAAAATTTATTATTTATAAGCGGAATTTATTATTATTAGCGGAAAAATAAATAAATTCTTATTCCTCAAAGATGGTATCATTTGAAAGTTTTGTCTGATGTATAATCGAATGATACCATCTTTGAGGAATAAGAATTCAATCAATAAATTTTTTTTTCTTTATTAGTTATCAAATAAAAATAGAATGCAATAAAAAAAAATAGTGCGTGGAGTCTCTCCGCGCGTATGAAGTTAAACTTCGTAACCTGCGACGTTAATTGTAGAAGAATCAGCAGTCGTAGAAAGATCACTAGTCCTATTCAATGACTCTTATTCCTGCTCCGCTCGCTTCCGTGCTCTGCAATAAAGGTAATATTGTGCATTTTTCCCTCATGGACCTCTTGAACCAGTGGAAGTGCTTGTGGTTGCCTCATCGTCTCGCCATGGAAAATGTATTTGTATTAATAATGTATGTGAATGCGTCATAATGTAATTTCAAAAGAGAAAACCTAACATTCAATTGATATTCACAAGAGACGTACCTTGACATAACCTTAAACCCGTCGCATTGTCTGTGGGATTGTTTTCACTCATTTTTTACAATTGTTATCCACTAAATTTGAAAAAAAAAATGCTACCCTATTAAATTATGTGTGTATCAAAACAAACTAAAAAAACAGCTATAGAAAGACAATACTTTTATTATTTTTATGCTAGTGAGAACCAAACAAAATGGAAATGAATGAGGGAAAACTGGATCCTACCACGTGATTTTCCGGCCAATAAAAATGTAGCGTTAAACGTTTAACGCAACCTTGTTGGAAGTCGCATAAGAAGTATAACTTCAAAAACGTTTCGTTCGTAATAATTAATGTATTACCAGAAATCATAAAACAATAATTTGTCATTATAAATGAAAGGTAACGAAAATTAGGAACAAAAGTGGATTAAAAAAAAACATAACATGTGAACACTATTATGTCAGAAGTTATAAATATAGAAGGTATGTATAAACCCTGTCATTATTAGTGTGCTCGACAATATAAACTGAATTCAAATATCTATATTTCTATTTTTCAATTCAGTAGTAAAATTTCTAACATGATTTATACTATATAGTTATTTATATTCATACTCTTAAAAATTTGCATTTTATATTAGCTTATTATTTTGCAAACACCTGGTATCTTTCACAGTCTTAAACAAGGTGCCAACTTAAGAGGTTAATAGATGTTTTTTATTACTTCAATAAAAACAGAGTAAATATGAAACCATTTTATTGATCAATATTTATCACACTGGCAACTATTGTGAACAAAAATAATTCTCTTGCAAAATATAACACATTACTAACAGTGATAATTACTGAAGCAAACTTCAAAATGTCATCCAACAATATTGCTTTCACAAATTGTAATAACAAATATAGTAACTTAGAAACTGCAACAACAACTATTTAAACAGCATTAATTACACAACTGATAGCTTTATGAAGCAAATATTTCATTGAATAAACTTTCATAAGTTCTACTAGAAAAAAGGGCTTTATTTTGATATAAAAATACTATAAAACATAAATTACTATATAACAGATAAATTCAACTTTCATTTTATGGAATATAGTTTGATTCTGAGCAAGATGCTAATTCTAAGTTATGCATTATAGCAAAATTACTTTAGTTGGACCCTTTTTATAACAAAAGTATATTTGATCTTTATTCTTTTTTTGAAGCAAATTATCATATACGTATGTTTAAAGACTAGTAGAAAGCACAAAAAGTTTGTAAGAAAGTATCAAAAAAGAGATTTCAATTCTTGATATAAAGATATCAAACAATTCCTTCTAAACTATATATAAAGTAGGAAGTATAAAGTTTTAACTAGAAAATGACAGCATACTGATTTCAAAATTTTATACTTGAACTCAATAAATATTAAAAGGAAAATAAAATTGTGGCAAAAAATAGTTTTAATTTTAAACGAAGTAAATTATGGTAATTGAATTAGTTGTATACTCATGATATAGTTCTTAACTTGACATTTTTAAGACAATGGCTTTATTTAGAATTGCAAATTTTATATGATCTATATAATAAACTGTTAAAAAATTAGATCATATTAAAATAAGTACAGCTCTTGACTATATCAACACTAACATGAAATAGTTTAATTCAACTAGATTTGATATAATACAAAAAGCCAGAATAAATGAAATGGTAATTATTCAAAGCTGTAATTAAAAAAGCTGAAAATCAATAACAGAATTTAATCAAAAGATTTTAATTTTTAAATGAATTTAACAAAAACAGGAAAGAGTAAATTATTTAAAGAATAAAAAAAATACTAATTTAAATAAAAACAAATTGTAAATTTTATTTAATAATGATTTTTTTCCCTAAAAAAACTGATAATTTATTTAAATTATTTTAAGTAAAAAACGATCACTTAACAATACTTAATAATTTTAATTTTACTAATTTACTTAAATAATTTTAAGTAAAAAACTAAAAAGGAGATTATGAAAAAAATGTAAAGTTTGTGAAATTATTGTTTTTTTATATTTTTTCCAACTGAATTTAAAACAATAAGATAATGTATCTTTATAAATGTAATTTTAACAACAATGTGTAATTTATAACCTTTAATAGAAATTTACTTTAGGTAAAATTGTGCTTCACAAAAATATGATATCTAATTACAAACTAGAAGAAAAAGAAGAAGCAAATGAAAGCAAACTTTTTACAATGCAAACAAACCAGACCTCATAAATGACAACACACTCACTATTGAAATTTTACACAACATAATGGCACATTCAACTTTATTATACAGTGTCACACAGTTATATAAATATTTATATTATTTACACAACATCAATTTAAACTTAATTGATTTGAAAAACAATCTTAACAAAATTATGGTAGACACTTTAAGTATCTTATATATCACATCAGTTAGTCAACAAAGAAATATAATACTAAATTAAGAAAGGACTAGATCGAAAACATTAAATAATCCCAAAACATTTACCAAGTTTAAAAAATAAAAAGCACCGCAATTAAAAGCATTAAGAAATAAAATGTAAAAGCATATTTCTTTGAAAACATTATTAAATAATTTTTGCAATAAAAAATAAAAAGAGTCATTATTGATGCACAAAAATATACCAGGAAATTCTTTAAAAATATTAGTTCGTATCATTTTTTCTAATCCAGCAACAGCAAAACATTTAATCACATACATATATCCTAGCTTAATGTAAAGAACTCAAACCAAAAACTTGTGAACATTCTATCTTTCACAATCAATCATCATTTCATTCAGAAAAGGTTTTAGCAGCAAGTTTCTAAAATCATTTTCTCTGAAAATAGAAATGGAAAATCAAATTATTTTCTTAATAAGTTTCATACTCAATGCAGAATCAAATTTAGAAATTTAGCATCATGAAGAAAAAAAGAAACTTACAATTATTTTCACGTTCTCATAACTTCTTTTATTTTATCAGCAATCCACTAAAATTAGATATGATTATTCATAAAAATAATTATTGGCAGCAAATGCTTTATGAATACAAAAATGTGAACGATTTTAAACACATTAAGGCATACAGGTAATATTTTGTTAACAATTCAGTGACATAATTTTAAGATCAATATTCATAAGAGCTTATAAAATGCACTATCAATCAATGATATCTTATAAATAATTTAACCACATAGTATAGAAATGTTAATTAAAATACATAGAATGAAAAAAATTTTTAATGTCTAAAATGCAATTTGTAAAAAAAAAAAAAAAAAAAAAAAAAAAAAAAAAAAAAAAAGCATTTAATGAAAATTTATTGAACCCTCATTGCAAAATATTCTTTAACATTTATATGAAAATATAAGAATTGAAAAGTTCTTATAATAAGATAGTTATAATGTTTCAGAAAATTATTAAAAAACTTTAAAGGATATGAATTATACCTGACAAACTTGTAGATCTGTTATATGAACAAGTTTTCCTGCCACATTTTTACTAAATATTCCTTTACGGTGAGGTGTCTATAAGAAAGAGATAAAAGGTAATATTAAACAAAACAATTAATTCACATCAAAATACAAACTTAGCAAAATTATTAAAAAATTAAAACACTAGTCCAAATTATATCCTTTTTGAACAGTATAATTTTCAATCTCTTAGTGCAACTCATAGACAATTCAGGCTCTATGGTATGTTTAATTTTAGAATTACTTTGTGAACAGAAGGTTTTAAGTTACTGATAAAAATTTCTTAATGAAACATTGAACAACTTAGAATAGTTTAAGATCAATATATACATATATATAGAACATTTTTATTGTACTGATCGATAAAAAAAATAAATAAAAAAATTGAAAAAAAAAAAAACAGTATTAGTTAGCTACTTTTTTCTCATACTAAAAGTTACCTGAATTAGTAATCTGGTTCAGGACTTCTTTAATCAAATAATTTCTAAAAAGGGTTTCAGTTATCTTAAAACTAAAGAACAGTAATACAGAAATTTAGTGGATATTTCTTTACCGCACCAATTGAAAATTCTATGATAAGAATACTGAGAATAAATCTACTGAGTTCAGTAGAATAAATTAAATCAGGTAAAAGATATGAATCAATAATTGGCAAACAACAAAACTCCATCCTATAAGAGTCGTTACTGCATTTTTTAAAAATCAGTGTATGACTTCTGAATTCATCAACATAAAAATTTGATAACATAAAATAGCTAATTAAGTTTTTTTCTCACAAAATGACTGGATTTCTCAAAAGTTTTAAACAATGAATCCTGCAGGTAAGAATGTTTGTCAGAGCCTTAGATATAATTAACAGACGGTTCCTAAGTTTTAACGATCAAATTTTGTGATTTTTACTAGCATTATTAATTAAAATAAAAGGGTGTTGAACCATAAATCAAAATCTTTAAATGTATTATATGAAAATCCATACTTGTATTCATAGAAAATAGAATGTTCTGTAGGCATACAAAAACCAGGAATAGCAAGACAAAAGCTAAAAATCAGGATAAATATTTTTCATCAGGAAACACGAATCCTGCAGTTGCAACTTTTATGCAGCCTCAAGGTATGACATAAACATAAAAAACTCATATCAACAAAACTGCATCCACTCAAGTAGCAGTAATGCAGAAAAATAGAAAAATGTTCAAACTTTAAAACGATCACAAAAATCACACAAAAGTAACAAATTTTGGTTTTGTAAAATGAAAAAAAATTTTTTTTTGAATTATTAAATCAAATAATGTAATTTAACTATTTTGCATTAATAATTAAAAATGTTTATTAAAATTTATAGATAGTTTGTATCTTTAACATCAGTCACATAAAAATTATCATCACAAGAACTTTTTCTCTATTTGTCCCTTTTTATATTTCATTTCATGTATACTTTCAACGTTTCTTGTTTATTTTCATATAAGTTAGTAAAATTTTTTTTTAATAAATTAAAAAACATAATTCCATCATTGCTTATAGAAGAATTTCAAAATAAAAAAATTATGTTTTACTTATGTCCTTTCTATATAATACCAGTCAAATTTTATATTTTTATTTTAGATAAAACAATTATCATTTTCATTTCTTTTTCTTATATGCATTATAATATTAGACATTAAAAAACATCACATATATTTTTTTTTTAAAAAAAAAGATTAAATATTTATCAAAGGAAAAAAAAGATAAAAAAACTATACCCATAAAAATGTAATGTCAGTCACCATGGAATTTCCCTAACTGACTTTTAATGAAAGAAAAAAAACTATAATTTTGCAAAGAGTAAAAAAAAAATAAGTGAAAACAATATATAAATATTTTTAATAAAAATATGTTTGTCTTATAATTAAAAACAATAATTTTAGTATTCATTTAATTAAATACCAAGAGCATGAGTCTTAAGCCTTTGTCAGTGGCCTCAGGTGGTCCTTTTAATTCTTCATAGAGGTATTCCCACACGGTATCCCATTGTCCGAATATATCTCCTTTTTCAATATACATGACTCGGCTGAAAAAAATACACATTAACCTTATAATATGATCATTAAATGATACCGTAAAACGTAATACTGTACATATTAGAGAGCTGTATCATATTCTTCAATAGAATTTTTATCTAATCCAGGAGTCAAAAGCAGATTATTTTTACTTTAACAAAGCAAGCATCAGGAACAATTAATTAATTTCTCTCTATTATTTTAATTTTTGTTTTATTAAATTTAATTAGTAATTTTTCTATTAATTAGTAATTATTTTAATTAACTGGTATTTTTTTATTAATAAGTGCGACCTGATTTGTTTAACAGACAAAGAAAAGATAAAACTTTATTTTGCTTATAACTAGTTGGTTAGATGACACAAAGCAATTGCAAAACTTTTATTTATTTTTTTCAACTAACTATAGTAAGCAGATAATGAACTTTTTTATATGGATACATATATAGTTATCTTTTAAAATATGTGTTTTAAATAAATGGCTGAAATGCTAAAAGAAAAAAAATATATAAAATGTCTTTGAAAGTATAAAATTTTTTTCTTACTTGTTAGTAACCAAAAGGAACAATTTATCTCCTACTGTAGCATGAGCCACATAAACGTCAGTGTTTGAATATTTTCCTTTTTCAACTTCCTATAAATATAATAAACATTACAAAAAAGTAATGCAAATTTATTAATAAAAAAAAAAACAAATTTATAAACAAAAATTTTAAGCAAATTTATAAACAAAAATTTAAAAAGTACTATGTTAATTTTAAAAACATAGGAACCAGTTTTAAATATACATAACATTGAAACACATAAGTAGGAAATTAAGATAAATATTTTTGTAACTGAAAGTAAACAAGATAGTTAAAAGAATAAATGATTATTTTGTATGAATAATAAAAAAAAAACTCTGCGAACAAACAGAAAGAAGCTTTTGTGGAACAAATAAGAATCTTAAAATTAAAATGCAAAGAATTTTTCAAATGACCAAGACATATTTTTTTAGAAAAACACAATTGATATTGTAATGTCATTTTTGGAATTACATTAATTTTCTAATCCTTTTTTAAGTAAAAATAATCTTCATCTTTTTTCCATATGAGTACAATAGAGAAGGGATCAAATTTTACAAATCTTTCTTTTAGTAATTCATTTTCATAAATATTTTACCATCAGTGGCCGAGGTATGCCATAAATATGTTCATTAATTACCGAACATTTTAAAATTACTTAACCAAACTTCATTAGTGTCTTTGGTACATTTTGTATTCATCATATTTGAAATTTTTTTAAAATATAACTTGTTTATAGAAAAGTAATGGAAAAGTCTGTTTTGGTTTAGAACAATATATCAAAAAAAAAAAAAATCTATGACAATCACAAAAAAAGATAAAATTATGATTGCATTATTGCAATCACTGGTTATCCATTGGTCAATTTTTCCTTAAGTATAGTAGTTCTTATAAATGCCACAACATTTCATGTTATGGGTTGCAAAAACTACCTTAATTGATGCTTGTTCTTCTGCATGGCTGTAAGGTTTTAAATGGGCTATATTGGTTTTAAATTTTAGTCAATATAGGTCACAAAACTCTTGCTCTTCTTCAGAGTATTCATATTTACAATAAAATCACAAAGACAATAATTATGAATAAGTTAATAATAAAAATATCTTAAATTAATTCTATGTAAAAGCGTTAAAAAGGCACGTTGGTAAAAAGAAAACAATTAAGTCTGGAAAACTATCAACTCCAAGAGGTTCCAAAATTATCAACTGTTTTTTTTTCAATTGACATTGTTAGGCTGCTTTTTATTAATGCTTATGTCAGCCTGATTTTTATTACTTTCACAAGTCTTTATTTGTGATTATTGTAATGATGATTTAATTGAAAAGTGCGTGAACATGAAGAACCTATAATAACACCTAATTTCCTAATGGGTTACAAAATTTACTGAGATCCAGACAATGACATATACAGGGGTGATTGTGACCCCATGTCAAAATTCCCCATGGACGAGAATACCCCATGTCATGAGTTTTTAAAAAAAAGAGTTTAAATTGAAAAAAATTTAAACAAGGTTTTTTTCCTTTTTCTCAATATCTCTTAGTTTACTTAAAATATATTTAAAATTTTACACATACCTATACCATTTACACACACCTATGGTGACCTGGAGAAGTAATTAAAATTTACAAATATGTCTTTCTTTCTTGAGTTTATGATAATAACTATTTACTGATAGAAAATGTATCTGGCTCCCCCTTACAAACAAAATAAACAGCGTTTTTCAGTTCTACCTTTGAAAATTTGATTTCCGGAAACTTCTGTGATTAATGAATTTTTTGAAACGTCTGGACCTCCTATCTTCGGAAACTTCCGGATCACTGTTAGCGAAAAATCCGGAAATCCGGATTTTTTCCGGAGCACAATCAGCCCTGCATATATGAGGCTTCAGCGTCCCAATGTAATAAAGATAAAAATTAAAAGAATTCAATACTTTCAAACTTTATTTCCAAACAAATCAAATTTGCAACAGAGAATTTTTTTAAAAAAAATGCAAAACACTTTTCCACAATCTCCCTTCCAGGACAAACTTTGAATCAAAATCAAGCTAAAAAGTTGCAACTCAACACCAGGAAGTATTCCTTTTTTAATTAATTATCAAAATTCTAATTTCCTTTTTAAAGAGAATTATATCGCTAACCAGAATAATTTCCTCTTTCAATTTATTAAGGTAAAAATACAATAAGTGGTCATTTGAGTAGACTTTCTACTTTCATGCATTGCTCCAAATCTGTATCCAGCAGTATACATATACAGGCAGACTCACTACCTCCACTAACAGTAAATGAAGTTTACAATTTACAAGAAGCTACATGTCATCATTTTTAGATTATAACACTCTATATAGTTTACTAAAAGAGGAAAGATTCAGGCAAACATTCCTAATAACTGTATTCTTTGGAAGAAAGTAAAATAATTGTCTGTATACTTTCAAGTGTAATTTTTTTTTCTAAAGCGATTTCAAGAGACAATATTAGGTATTTAAGTTTTTTTAAATTATAATTAATAGAGATTATTCAAGTCCAATTTGTTATTTACTGAAAATGTTACCAAGTTTAGTATTTTTAATAAAAAAAAGTTATTTTATACATTATATTATTCTGACAAACATACCCTCTATGATAGAATAACCTACTCATTAGATAACCGTTAACTGGAACCATAGGTATTTCTTGAAGCAAAACAGATTATACTTCATACAAATTTTAAAATGAAATCAGTGACATTGAATTTTCACCTGTAAAAGTTTATTCCCTTCAGCTTCTCTTTTTACATAGGGACGAATGATTCCATCCGCTTTAATAAAGCGAGGAGTTCTAATACGCTTAGCTTCATCAGAGACTTGTGTAACTCTATAATATATAAAGGAAAACTATATAGTCATACTTACAAATTCAGTCAATATTTCATAAAAAAACCATTTACAACAGAAATTATTGAAGCATAGTGAAGCCAAGTCATTTGAATAAATAATATCTGCTCAGCATAGTGAATAAATAATATCTGCTCAGACCATGGTGACACACCATGCACAGCTCACCTCAATTTTTATTATACATAAGTATGGAATGTCAATAATGAGTAGTAAGGTTAATTTAAACCCAATACAGCCAGTTATCTTAAAAAAAAACCTAAATAGTCATATTTTCACCAACAGAAAAATGAACCTGGGTTAACATATACATAATCAGAAACACTAGCCACATTATCACTGAGGTCATAAATTATGTCAATTTGTAGTGATAAATTATATCAATCATAACTTAAAGCTCAATCATAAAATATAATTTTATTCTATATATATATGAAAGTAAATTTGTGATAATTATTTTAAATCTAATAATTTTGTGATATCTGTAAAAATACCAAAATTAATATTCCTTGTAAAAATAATAACATATATATGGCTAGTAAATATTTGTTTCATTTGAGTCAGTTTATTAAGCATCTAAAAGGTGCAGTCCTTATGTCTTCCAAAGAAATTAAAATTGAAAAAATAATCACAATGTTTAAGAAAGGATTGTTTGATCAAAATAAAAGGAAACTTTGAGTTGGAAATTCAATTAAGACATGAATTAATAGCGTTTCTTTGATTTAAATAAATATTTTTAATGTTCTTCTAAAAAAATAGCCATGTTGTCTTTCGTTAGTCAAACATATTTCTCGATCATCGTTGGCGTTTCGGATATGCATTGTTCTCTATCAGTTCCCAGATCAAATTTATTTTCTAAATATTAAAATGTAAATTCTCAATCATAAAGCTGAAAATGTAGACGCCAGTTCAAAGTTATTGGTTGCCAAAGGCAACTGTATTAATGAGCATCTAAAATAAAAATTTTTAGTTCCAAGTTTTTGAAAATATTTTATCGTCTTATTTTATATTTTTTCAGCAACATAATGAAAAAAAGAGCTAAAATGTAGAATAAATCTTCAGTTAAAGGTTAAAGATAGTGAGGAGAGAGGCATTCTGCAGAACTTAAATACTACTGAATTATAGAATAGAAATAACATACCTTTTCACAGCATCTAAAGAGCCACTGGCAAAGTCGACTACACCTGCAGTTGGTCGTGTTACAACACCAATTAAACCTTTGCCAACACCTTTGAAAAATCCACCAACACCTCCTTCTCTAGCACCTTCAATCGGCTTTGTAACAATACCAGTTACACCATCAAATACCCCCTGAAAGTATTTGAAACATAAGAAATAATTTCAACCAAATAAAGTTAAAACAAATACTATTACACAAATGAAAAGTGAATAATTTTTCCTATAAATGCATTTACAAATCAGACCTAACTCTTAAAATCTTAAAGTTTAACATTTAAATGCATAGGGTGATTCAAAATTCATGCAAGAAGAAAAAGAGTTAGAAAGAAATTAATGCAAGGAAGAAAGTTAGTTAAATAACACATTTCTTTTTCTATAAACTCAAACGAAAATATTGTTTATTGATTCATAAAATATACAATATAGAGTTATAAATGGAATAGTTTATCATGTAAATGGCTTTTTTGTAAAAACTTTTAATGATTATTTTAGATAACTGTGGCTCAATCTAGTTGAGATAGGGCTCAATTTTTTCCCCTATTATGAGTGGATCAATATAATTTTTGGAATAAAACATGGAATTTTTTCAAGAATGAAAAGACCTTTCCTTATGTATTCTGCTTTATTTTTAATAATCCTGAACAGCCAGTTGTCTCACTTTCAAACTATTTTCAATAGTAAGATTTCACTGCACAATCGCCAGAATTTAATCTATTAATAGTCCTACAGAAAAACGTTGCATTTGATGTATAACAAACCAGTGTAAATTATACCTAAGTTATTATATAAAAAAAAATTATCAGGGTGAAATAGTTTCTCAAATCTGTCTATTAGTAAAAGAGTCAAGCGGTAAAGAGGAAACATTGTAAGCAGTAAGAAGAAATAAAAATTAATAATTTGATAAATAGATTTGTATAAAAATTGCTTAATCCTACTACTAATATAACTTTATTTTAGAGATCAACTTTAAAACTAATTTTAATTAAAATAGAATGCCTATTCTTTATATGGCAGAAAAAGCAAATAATCAATTAAATAGGTATTAATCAGCACAGCATAATTATGTACAAAATTAAAAATTATATACTGACACAATAAAAACAATTTCCAGCTTTTTTCACTTATTATATTTTCCAGAACTTCCTGAGGATTTTACATTCACAAAACACATGTTTAGAAGTTTATCCCATCAAAAAAGATCAGTACCATTTGGTAACATGGTGTTGTTTTTAAAATATTGTGAAAATTTATCACAGTCAAGTAATTTTTTATGAATATTTTTCATTGGGTAATTTTTCCTTTTCTGAAAAGGGGCATAAAAAACCTATATTAGCACATTTAATATTGATTGAATAAAATAACTCGTATTATCACAATACCAGTAGTGCTAATTACTTACATTAACTTAACATCATTGACATCAATAACGGTTATGCAATTTTTTACTGTCTCCTGAAACAAATAACTTTTCTTCATTAATTTTGCTTTTTAGAGCATAATTTATTTCTTATTTCCATTGTTAGCTGATTTTAAGTTATTTATCCTTATAAAAGCATCTTCCAAAAGTGTAACTATAAACGAAATAAACATGTGGTTTCAAAACAAAATCAAATTCAGTGACCTGGTCGACATATGCTATTCATGTTGATACATGAGCTTATCTGATAAGATGAATTAATAAAAAATTAATGAAAAACAAATAATAAATTAGAGTTGTAAGCAGCAATCATCACTGGTAATATCTTTTCAATGTATGAAAAAAACATCGCCTATAAAGTTTAATTTATATCAATGGTACATGCTAAATAAATGAGACAAATTTATTTTTAAATCATCTCTCTCAAATTTTTTGAATAAAATTATGACTGATTTTTAGGATCGGAAGATAAAATTGCCCTTTGCAGCTACTGTTGAAATTTTAGAACAATAACACAAGCATTTCCAGAGAAATAAGAAATAGAAGTAGCAAGATTGTATATGCAATAACTTTACCATGACAAGTCCTTTACCACTTTCAGCTATTCCATGCGTGAAATCTTGAGGACGGCGACTTATGTTCTGTCGTCTTTTCTTCTGATAATCCTTATCCAAGGTCAAGGCAGCTATACCCTTTCCAAGAGTGCCAGTAATTCGTGAGGCTGCTCCAGCAGCACCACCTGTAAGTGTAAATAGCAAAATAAGATAAGTAAAATAGGAATTTCAAAAATTTTGCCCAGAATCATAATCATTGAAGAGTTAAAAAGAGTAATAGGATTTTTTGATTTTTGGCCCCAATTTTCAATTTATTGAGCATTACTAAACTAATCAAACTAAGAAATAAGAGATTAGTAAAGAGACAAAAATAAGAAAATATTAACAAACTTGCACAGAACTTGCATGATATTTTTATTAAACAATATTAATAACTTTACTCGCAACCATAACATCAACATATGCCCATAAGCAGAATATTTTCAAATGTTCTGCAACAGGACTTATTAATTTATGCAAATGTTCTGCAAGCATTTCACCACGAAAAAAAGTCAACTTTACGTTAAAATATTATATTTTCATTTATTAAAATACAGGATCATACACAGATACACTACATTATTTTTTAATCCAAGGCAAACATTCCTGCTTTGTTACTTTTTCAATCACTTTTGAAGTACAAAATTTTGTTAATGACAATGATGAGGAATTATTAATAAAATGCCTATGCTATGAACGTCCGAACATTAAAATAAGGGCTGCCTTAAAAATTTTTCCAAGTGATGAGTGCCCAGATGGTGCACCATTTGCAAACACAAACATTTGCTGGTTCCAACAATTTCTTCATCTCCATTGAAAGCATTTGGTCTTTCAGAAATAATTCTGTCAATTGGGGAACCCCACTATTCCCAAATTGCTTCTGAAATGGGACTGGAAAATATAAAAGTCATAAACTTTATGAAATCTCTGAATTTAATTCTTTTACGGCTTGCTTTGGAAGCTCTCTTGATAAAAATGGTGATCGATTTCTCTTGCTGTTTGCCAAAAACTGATACATCCATCGTATAAAAATGTTATAGCCAAAAGCTAATTCGTTAATTTTCTCCTCAGAATGGCAAAGATATGGGAGATTATTGATATATGTGCTGAAATTTGAGCAGGGTGTAAAATGTTCTTCTTCTAAAGCAACATTATTCCTGAGAAACAGCAAGTGGACAAAGCTAAAGAGAATTTTCATTCGATTAATGACAATATCAACGTTTTCCTCTTTTTCAAAATATATTTTATACTGCTCCAATATAGAGTCAATGTAGATTATCATTTGCATTGCATCTGAGGAAAATACAGAAAGCTCAGAATTGTTTAAGACGGAGTGTAGTCTTTTGGAGCTAACAGGCAAATCTGGCAGAGGAACTCCTTGTAACATACTTCTTGACTGAGGTGGTAGGAAATGTTCTGCAAGATTATGAGGGGAAACTTTTAAACCTTCAGGTCATTACGGTCTACAGAAGAATGAGATTAGGGATTGGGGATTGTTCTGCAGTACTACCGGAGGCAGGCTGGAGGGGGAGGGGGTTCACAGGAAAACGCTGTCACTTATTCAAGATACAAATTGTTCTGCAGGACTTTGTTTGGTTTGCTATGTATGTCACAGTTTTAGGCACTTTCTGCTTCTGGGAACATATGTATCCCTAAAAGATTTTGATACAATATAAATATGATTGAACAAAATGAAGGACTTTATTGTAAATCTCATTTTTGATAATTTTGACTGACTTTTTATAAACAAGCATAGTTTCTCAGTACCTACATTTCAGTTTGGCTGAACAAGTTGACTATGACTAATATTGATCTTGAAGCACCTCAAGATCGAAATTATTCATAGGAACAAATACAGTTCAAGTAAATGATGTTACCTATTGCATGGCCAAAAAGTGATTTTACACCAAGTGCAAGACCTTCAGCAAATTCTTCAGGCCCTTGAATAGCACCTTGGAATGGTTCATAAAATAAATCTGTAACGCCTTCACCTAAGCCAAGAAGAAGACCAACAGGATTGCCTATCACATCCAATCCAAGAACAAGCATATAAACCTGTTTTACTGCCTAAAAATTTTATAATATAATTTTTAAAACAATATACAGAAATACAGAAACAAAATAATATGTAATAAAACGATAAATGAAATAACTAACATGCAATTTCGCTTATTATTTTAATCAATTTAAAAAAATATATTAACAATATGATTTTTTTTAAATCCTCTCTTAGAAAAATTTTAAAAATTTTGAGAAGTAAAAATAATTTTTGCAATTTAATAACAAAATAAAATAATAAAAAATCACATTTTAAAATAAATAAACATTGGGAGTAAGACAAGCAGTACAATTAATAGATAATACAACAACAAAAACTAAGAATGAATATTCATGTTACTTAACGAACATAATTTGTTTTATTGCAGCATGGGGCAATAACAAAAAGGTTTGTAAATCAAATATGAACTTTAAATGTACATTTTTAAATGGCAATATCTAGAAAGCTACTATATAATTATTTGTACATCCACTAACTTTGCTTAGATATGAATGGAATTTATTTGTTTAAAATGGATATGAATATAATAATTGAAACAATGTGAAGAAAAAAATTATATCTATAAATGTCTTAAAAAAAATACTAACTTGACTTATGTAATGAGATGATGCATCTGCTATAAGTTGATTTTGAGACATAAATACATATCTTCTTTCAAAATAATCCAGTCTAAGAAAATAAAAAAACAAAATTGACAAAATGACAAGAATTTAAAGAATATTAAGATTAAAAAAACAGCATTAAGTAACATTTCAAAGTTTATTTTAATACTGATACTTCTGGATTTAAAAAAAACTTGTTTTGTTTATCTGCATCTTACGTTTCTCCAACTGCAACTAGTCAACTTATTTTTCTTAAATCTCTTTGAGTATAAGTTTAAAAAATTTAAAAGTTTAGCAGAGAAACATGTTGAGTAACAGTTTGAAAAGATATATTTCTCGGTCTAAAAACATGATATCTTCAGCTGTATCTATCATTCATCCGAAATCTCCCAGTAACTAATACAAAACAATTGCTTCTAAGCCTTTTAAAAATAATTATGAAGAAAAAAGAAATGAAATGATTACCGGAAAAACATATTGAGTAACATTTGGAAAACACATACTTCTAAGTTTAAAAATATGTAGCATTCATCACTACTTATAGAACAATAATGTATTTTGCCAAGTTTTTAAATAAGGCAATGATACAATGTTCGACTGAATTTTTCACTAATTAAAATGTGTCATAAATGTTAAATGTGCAGAAACTCATTAAAACGCTTTCAAATTTAGTATTTTTTTAAAAACTTTTTTTCTATTAGGAATTACAGTGAGTCAAAGTTATTAAGATAATTCTCATTCACTCTGCATTTCAAAACCAAAATCTGAAATGCATAAAAAATGCAAATGCTTGCATTTTTTAAAAATTATTTTTTTAAAAATAAACACAATTTAAAAAATGCCAAAAAAATTATGCATAAAATTAAAATTATTATAATACGAAGCTTAATTACTTGAAAACCACATCTTGTATTTCAGTTAGAGTAACTCCAACACTCTGTAGTAGTAAATTCAAAAAATCTGAATGAATGGGAGTAGGTTTGTTGCTTTCTTCTTGATTTGCACCAGTCATAGAAAAGCTGATATGGACCTGGGCAATTGAACGAACCATTAGTTATAAGGATAATACGAAGAAAAAAAACTGTACAATATATTAAAATACTGAAATAAGCGTGATATACCTTTAGAGGAGAAAAATGCAGGTTGTCAAAATAGAATAACTTTTCTTGAGTTGAATACACAGCAGCAACATCTTTAAGAGTTGACATTGCAGTAGTTTTATCAAGAGTTAACATTTTTATCTAAGCAAAATAGATAATAAATTAGAAAATTTGTGATTTTTTTAAAATAAAAAGCACAAGTTAGAAAGCACATAGTTCAGAAAGTATATAATAATTTAATAAACTGAATCCTAGGTAATAGATGAATATATATTAAAATATACATGTATGCGTGTATACATATGGAGAAAATTAACAACTTCATAATGTACGGAATAGTCAATTATTTGTCAATAAAGTGAAATGCTGTTCCAATAAGAACTGCTTAATAAGTGCAGAATGGGAAAACTTTTTCATTTAAAACAAAACGGTTCACAAAAGAATTTTTTCACACTTGAAAAATCGAAAATTATAAGAAGTTTAATCGTAGAATAGACCAAATGCGAAAGATTTTAATAATGCATTTCAACCTAATTTACAGAACAAAGGTATGCATGATGATAATAATTTTTTTTGCATATAATTTCTAAACATTACTGCATTATTGTTTGTTTCCTAGTAGATAAATAATGCTTAGGAGAAACACTGTGACCTTCTGAATGTTTTGCAACTGACATTCATTTTTTTCTGACTTTAGGTTATCTTTTTTCCATCCCCTCTTTTTAAAAAGTTTGTTTGTTTCAGACTCAACTACAAATATTTTATTAACTATCTCCAAAATGACATAAGGTTTTACTTGAAACCACTCCGAATTTCTTTCAAAAATTTGCACACTGGCATTCGATGAACTTTCAGCTACAAGTTTGCAAAAAAATTTTAAAAGCTAATATTTATAAAAAATATTACCACAATAATCTCTCACATTTTTTTAAAACTTGAATCTTGGAACTTCAAAAACAGAGCATAAATAATTTATATTTTCCTCAACATCTTCACAATCTGATCGGCTAATGGTTATGTCCATTTGTACAATCTGAACAACTTTGAAATTTCAGTACCACTTGTACAGTTAAGGACTAGCACTCAGTACATGAAATTAATATTTTATAACAAATTTAACTCATTTAAATAGAAAACACAACATAAGCATTGATTAAGCACATGGTCAGAATATTAACTAAAATACATCAGTATAACAATACAATTAATTTAATAGGAAGAAACTAAAATAAACATAACAAAATGATTTTACAAAAATATAATATAAATAAAAATATGTTTACATGGTCTATTTCTGGAGCTTGGTCAGGTGTGAAAAATTGTAGAATTGAATTTATAAAGCCTTGATCCAATTTAATATGAAATTCTTGAACCAATATCTTACAATACCTGCAAAAATAAAGAAAAATCATAATTTGTAATAAGAAATAAAAGCTTTAATCAAACTTACATTTAACTTTCACTTACTTCAACTGAAGAACTTCACTATGTTCTGCTTTGCGAAGCATGATACTAAGTTCAGTAAATGGTTTTGGTTCTGAAATAATACATGATTCAAAATATCAATTTTATTTAAGAAATAAAATAACTGAAACAATGATAGTAAATTTTTTAGTCTTACATTGGTAAAATAATAAATTGGTACATGATGATTTTTTTAAAAATGTAATGTTGAAAATACTTAATAGCTAGAAAATGAGTAGAAAAGATGCTTATTGGATGTTATAAATCCTTTTTGTAACAATATTATGAACTTAAAAAGCAATAATTTGTTATAAGCAATAATTTGTTATGTTTTTGCATTTGCAATTATTTGATCACTAAATTACAATTAAAAACCAAAGTTAAAAAATAATAATTATTAATATTTTTAAACTACCTGTTTCAGCAGCAACTGATTTTGGAGGAGGAACAGGTGCTAAAACCACAGGAAATACACAGTCCATTAACTGATTGTCAATCTAATAAATATATAATTTTAAAAACAAATCAGTATTTTTAACTTCTTGTCTAAATAATTGATATTACATAGTTGTAGGTAATAATGCTCACTTGAAGGTTATGAATTTTTGCATGTACTTGAAGTTGATGTGGTGAAGTCTTATACTGTAACCATAAGCCATAGGCATATGTTCGCCTAATAACTCTTTGCAAAGGTTTAATCATTACCATAGCTTGGAAATCAATCTAGAAAACAAATTATAAAATCAGATAACGTAACTATTGTGTTATGTTTATTAACTGGCAGTTCCATATTGATTAAAAAGAAAATTTGTCAAAAGTTAAACTGCAAAGCATTTGCGATGCTTAAAAAAAGTCCATATTTATCCTGAGGAAAAACCGATTTTATCACTTGTTACTCAACGAAAGAGTTTGGTATTGAGCGGAAATTTCTATAATTTAAAATTACCTCAATTTGATGTAGGAGTATTTATATGCATATAGTATGCAGTAGATTTAACTTAACCATTCGATCATTTGCATATTTAAATAAAGAGTTACAAATGGGGATTAGATAAGTCAAACAATTGTTTTTCTTTCACATTTATTTTTAATACTTGCATTAGTATAATTTTTTTACTTATTAATTAAATAATATTATTAGTTATTTCTATTAACAATCTTTGAATCTTAATGCTAGAGCAATCAATGCCAAAATAATGAGAATTAAGATTTTGAAGTTATAGAAAAAATATTGAAATAAATATTTTGATATTTACAATGTGGCATTGATTCAAGGAAGAAAAATTTTTTGTTGTTGGTTTCTTCCAGTTTGACTTATTCTTTTTTAAAGTTATGGTTTTTTCCCCGACTGTACTTTTTCACCAAATTAAAGTAATTTACTATTAATGCTTATTGATAAATGTTTTTTTTGTACACTGCATAAAAACTACCACCCTGAATAACTTATTTTGATCTAATGATTTTGATTTAATGATCAGATTTTTTCATTCTAGGACTCAATCTTAATGTTTTGAAGGGTGACTTGAAATATACTACTTAATTAGTACAGAAAATTTTAAGTTACATAATTAGACTCAAAACTGTACTTTTTATTATTAAACTTACCTTTTTTATTTAGACGAGTTTGGATTTCGGTCCCATAATATTTAACGGGTAGCCACAATCTGGGAAATATGGCCCTAATAATTTGGTATGGCAATATATCATTAAGGAGTCTAAAGATTGGACCCCTTAATGTTAATTTTACTTTTTGTTTATTTTGCTTTATCTCGAGAACTTAACCATTCGATTCAACCATTTTTGCACAGATTTATAAAAATTATTCGTCCTAAGATAATTCCATGCAAAAAATGTTTGGCAAATATTTATTACTTCGATTATTTAATTGTAAGGTATATAATTTTTTACATGATTTATATGCAATTTTTTAAAGAATGTAATTTCACTAGGCAAAATCCAAAATTTTAGCAAAAATGGGCAAATAGTTCCTGAGAAGTCAAATTTTAAAAAAGTCTTATATTTAAAATTTGTTTTTTTTTAGGAACCATTTGACTGATTTTCCACAAGTGTACTATCAAAACAGATAAAACAAAGTTAAAATTATAATATCGTAACACATAACACAAGATATGAATAAAATAAGCAGAGACTGATAGATAATATTTTACCTCCATTTTTCCATTCATTAAAACAGAAGACTTTGGCTTTTTTCCAACTTTAATTTCCATATGATATTTTTGGTAAGCAGCTTCTATTATTTCTACTTCCTTAACACTTAATGGTTTAAATCGTTTGCTTCTCTTTTTTCTTGCTTCCCATATTATTCCAGTACTATAAATAAATGCAACCATAATAGTATTGTATTTGTTAAACAAATTCAACATCGTTTCTTAATGAACTATTTAAACTCACCTAGTTATGCCCATATACATTATTTCTGCTTTTGTATCATTGTTAACTAAAGACATGCCAACACCTTGTAGCATTATTACTATTTCTTGCTCAATTCTTTCTAGTTCACCTGCCTAAAAAAGCAATTTAACTTTAAGAGAAAATTATGGAAAAATAAGTAACACAAATATTATATCATGATTTAATTACAATTTTTTTACATATTGAAGGATACTGATGCCAAAATATGGCTCCATGCTATGTACAAGCAGATTTTCTACCATCTTTCTATGTTAATAAATATATATTTAATTAGATTTTAAAAAATAAATTATTTTAAATTGTATTTTAATTTTATAATTATATTTAAATTTAATTGTCAATTTTGTGAGAATTTTTAAAAAAATTTCATTATGCAAATCATTTTGTAATCAAATAATAAATGCAAGCTTTTGAGTACTTGTTAGAAAATGATAAACATGCTCAAAATAGGAAAATATTTTTATAAATGTAAAAGTATCATTAAATATGTTTAATTTAATGACATACTTGCTGAGCTGCAGTAGCTAGAGCTAGATCATCGGTAAACATAAAAACTCTTTGCACACCATCTAAAAATGACACCCAGTAAAACTTTTTATTTTCTCCGGGTGTTAATTCGCCAATACCATCCTGAAAAAGAAAATGAAATAATTCATAATGCAAGTTTAAGATAGAATCCAAATTAAAGAATAAAACTAAAGTCTTTTATTTTTTTATTCTTATGGCAGGCACTGAACATAACATTATTTGCCATGGAATTTGCGAAAGTGCTGCTGATTTTGTGTTGCCTCGTTAGCACCTTGTAACCAGTCACGGAGGCAGTCAACATTACCTACTCCACACTGCCATAGATACCAGTTCATAGGGTGAGCCGCATTCATGCAACACACACAACAGAGGAAAACACACATAAAGAAAAATCTATGCCCTGAGAGGGATTCAAACCCACAGCCATCAGCTTTGTAGTCAGGCACGCTAACGGCTTGGCCACATGGCCAGTAAAATAAAACTAATGAATAAAAAATATAATTTATATAGAGTTTAAAAATTCATAATAAAATATTAAAAATATAAAGACATTTTAAGAGAAGCAATATTAAAAGTTAATTAATGATTTTGTAAATTCAATGGAAATACCTGAAACCTTGTCACTAGAAAACTAATGGATTAAATTTGGCCATATGTTAAGTATTTATATTAAAAATTAAAAAACAAAAAGCAAAGATATTCTTTAAAGCTTGGCTGAGAATTTAGAATTAAAAATACAAAAATACTTGTAATGAAAAACATTGATGCTGATTAAAGTTTAAATAAAATCCTGAAAACCAAGTTTAAAATATGATCGATAACACAGTATTTTGTTTCCAAGCTACAAGCATATCTTTATGTAATACAGCATATGATATGAACAGGGGAGTTGAAAGTATAATGAGATGTGACACTTTTTGGTTATGAAATAAAAAGGATAATAAACATGGAAAAAAAAGTGAAATAAATAATAGACAGCCCCGTAGTATTAAGCCTGCTCTAGATTCTGCACAGTTAATACCCATACACTTGAATGTTGGATATTTCAATGATTTTCAAGCATGTGCACTCTTTTACAGTACACAGCCATTTACACTATAAGCAATATATTTAATAATTATCATCCCACAAAAAGTTTAGTTCAAAATAAATCTACAACACAAAATAAATGCATTAAATTAAGATTTCTTTCTGAAATTAATTGGTAAAATCAACAATCTATGTATCGAGAAAGTCATAATATTTCATTATTATTACTGGTATGAAACTTTTTAAACCAACCTTAACCAAGTCATGCTCTCCACTGGCTTCATTGCAAGTCCATTTGAGATGTCTTTCCCCTTGAGGATTTTGCCAAGTGTACAGTTGAGAAGATCTAGGTAATACTTTGATTTCTTTTGATACACCACTAGAAATAAAACATAATACCAATTTAAGCATAACGTGCATATAATTTTGTAATCAGGCATTTCTCAATCTTTAATATATATCTTTTTATTCATGATTGAAATGGCTTATACACACTTGTTAGTAGTTTGGCATGCTTTTAACTTGAATATAGAGAAATGCATGGTAGCAGGAGGCACACTACTGTTTTGATATTGTCTTGCACACTATTGTCTTGATATAAGTTTGGAAAGATATGTAACTCAAAACTGCATTAACAAGTGCAGCAATGCAGGCATTACAAATTCCAAAAACAAAGAAGTAGAAATCGATTGGCAGAAAAATGTAAGGCATTTTCAATTATCTTTAATTTATGTCAGCAGAATGAGCACAGATGAGATTAACTAGATAGGGGTGTGCAGTTTTAGAAATACACCAAGCAAAAATTAAACAAACAATTCCAAATTACATCAAATATTTGCCATTTTTCACCCAATCTAGAAACTCACATCTTCCGAACTCTATCATTGCATCTCTATGAAATCATAATCTCGTAATAAAAAAAATTATTACAATTTGTAGATGAATCTTAGATAATTCTAAAAAAAGAACTTACTTTATTTAGTGGAATGTATTTTTGTTTCGATCGCGGAAGAAAGGAAAAAAATAAGGATAGGAAGATTAGAGTATAGCTTGCAGTAAGGGGCGAAATTAAAGGTTTAAAATGAAAATAAACTTAAAGTGTTTACTTGAATTTGTTAAGTGAAGAAGCACTGTTTAACAAATTCTTCATTACATGCATGCATTAGGCATTGCAAGAAATAAGGTTTTTGGGAACTCAATATGAGCAGGAACATTATAAGGCGATATTGCATCATTCATTTGTAATATACATTTTAATTCAGATGTTAACATATTAAAGTATATATAGAACATAGAGATTTTCAACAAAATACATGGTAAATATTTCGTATTGAGATATAGTTTCAATATTTAAATTTAACAAGTAAAGAAAATCCTTTTTTTTTGTAGTTTTTATATTTTACAAGGAACAATTGAATGGATTTCTTTTAGAATTTTAGATTTTGCGATTAAAATGTTTAAGGGCATAAATTTTGTTTCTTTTACAACTTAAAACTTTTTACAATCATCATAAAATTAAATTATGATGAATAATAAATTACTAATATTTCTTCAGCATAGAATTACTCCAGTAAACAAGTTTTACTTGAAACAAGTGTGTGAGAACATTTTTACGACTCAACAAACTCGGCTGTTCTCGTAAGTAAACTATTGGAACCACAGTTTCCAAATCTTACTTTCTACACATTAAAGGTCAAAAAACCATTAGAAAATATACGTTTATTTGAAGAATTAATTCTATTTCATGTCAGATTTCAAAACTTATTCATAGGTAGCACTCATCAAATAGTACATATTAAAGTGTGTCCTTCAAATCATTAAACTCACACCCTAAATTGAGAACAAACTAATTAACATGACTCAATTATGTAAGATAAAAAAATATTTTTAATGTTGTTATTAATTCTGACCCACCCTACAATTAATAAGAAAATTTTAACAAATAATAAAAATATATTTAAAAATACCTCTGATTAAAAGTTATTGGAACATCATCTAAATTGTTAACTAATAAAAATGCAGCATGACCAGGAAAGTAATCTTCAAATGTGACAATTACTGATGATTCTGAAATTTGACAATTGACGACTATACCACCTTTCTGCAAAATAAATAAAAAAATTTTTTTAACAAATTTAGATGTGTTAAAATCAAAAAAAAATTTTCTTAATCAATATAGCAAGTATTATGAGAGCCACAAATAATAAAAGTACAATAAAAAAAAGGAAATAATAAAAATGTTAAGATATCAGCTCTATGAAAGTGTGTTTGAGTTATAAACACACAATTTTAAATTAAATTCATTAATTTTTTCTTCAGCAGTTCAGATTTTTATATGCCCAAAAAAAGTTAACATTTTTTGGCAAAAATCTTAAAAAAAAAAAAAAAAAAATTATGAATACTTTGTTAAATTTTTGAGAAAAAATAATTAAGCAGGGCTTAATCCAGGTTTTCAATCCTAGTACCTATTTTTGTGAGAGAAAAATGATTTTTGTGGAAAATAAAAATTTTTGTGAAAATTTAGTATTGCTAAAAAAAACATAAAAACTACATATGTATACAAANATTTCAGCCGCATTAGAATCATTAGGCCAGAATCTAACACACTATGTGATAGAAATTGCAAATTTCAAAACAGATTTATATTATTTTACTTCATTAAATAAGAAACTAGAAATTATAAAAAAAATAATGATAATAAATTGATTAACACATTTTGAGTTCAATCACGTTGGCCACTCGCTAGACAGAAAAATTTCCAGAGATGTCCATAGTAAAAATTTTAATAGATTTCTGAAATTTAAATTAGCATGGCCCAAATAAAGAATATATAATTTTAGAATTTAACTGCATATTTATATACATTGAAACTCACAATAAATAAAAAAATTCTTTAAGACATGTATTGTCGATTTCTCAAATAAATAATTTAACGAGAACCGGGAATTAACAGAGAAACAATTATAAGTCTATTGGAGCAAAGCTTTTAACAAGCAACTGACCAAGTATCTTACAAAACAGTGTTTATTAATCAGTTTCTTAAAAAGATAGTTTTCTTTCTTTTCCATATAAAAATTCTGTAAAATATCAAAATAAGGCTTTTTTGCTTTGAGAAAAAGGCCCACAAATTTTTTTTTGCTGTGGCTTGCAAAACTTATGTCAGGGTGCATAGTCAAATCTTTCAACAAATAATAAGTACTTTTTAAGCACTATATACATTAGCAAGATTCAAAACAATCTTCAGAGACTTCACATGATTGTGAAAAAATAACTATTTTCTGACAAAGAACTCTCTTCTTGATTATACTAACCACCATAAAAAGATCCGAGAGATTTTTCGGTTCGATATCAGAGCGTGGAAAATGAAGTATGAAATTGAGAATGCAGCATGCAATAATCACACCGAACCCAGCTTAGTAGACGTACATGCGGACTTGAAAGTATTTCATAAAACATGAAAAATGATTGGCGCTTTCATAAGCTATGGACCGACAGTATGCCGAAATGGATAGTGGCTGAATGAATTGTGAAAACATTATTAGAACAATTGGAAAAGCATACTTTTGCACAACACGTGGCGAAAATCGACATGGACAAGCAGAAAATCTCATTTTTAAAAAGGGAAAAATTAAGCACTTTTTAAAGACATCCTATGAAAAAAGCACCTTTAAGAGCTCTTAAGAAGAAAATCTAAAATAAGCACGTTAAAGCACTTTTTAAAAACGCTACGAACCATGCTATGTCCAGCCATGGACATAGTTATTGTTTTTCTCCCCTACACTGCAGCTTTTGCTGGCTCAGCAATTTTTCAGATCAAGCGATTGGGGGCAAAACTGGGTAATACTCATTAGTCTACACCCGAGAGCAGAAATTATCGTATCTTCTTGACAAGTAAAGTGTAATTCACAGTTAGTTTGCTGGAAACAGTACTGATTTCAGCATAATCAAATTACTTGGCCTTACCCCACTCGGCCATACTAATTTAGAACTTCAATTCATACTTCTTATTTAATCTGTATTCAATGCTCTGGTTATGGCAGCTGCAAACATGAGTGATTGTAATCAGATAATGATTTTATCTTAACCAATTCAGTGTTGCAATTTATTTTTAAAAAATTTACTAAAAATTTGTCTGTAATTTATGGATTGAATGTTCCCCAGTTACGGCACTTATGCACTAGATTATGACAGCAGACATATTCCCTTTATTAAGCTGTATCAGTTATTTTTTAAAAATGTTTGCTATATCTGAGAGAAATTTTGTTAATAAATCATATATAAAAAATTTTTTAAAAAATATTCAAAGGAATATAAAATTAAATTATGTGTTTAATTAATTTATGCATTATTAACAAAGTCAAATGTTATAGAAATAAATGAAAAAAAAAACACTTTTCATATCCAACTAGCAGTTCTACTAGCAAACTATTAAATAAAAAGAAGATTATTTAACAATTGTTAATTCATAATATTCAGAGGAAAAAATAATTGCTTATACATTTTCACAAAACAATGGCCATTCAAAAATGCTGAATAGACAAAGAAATTTTTTTTCCGTAAGTGTACCATATTTTCTAGTGTATAAATTAATTTTTGTTAAAGGAACTTCTGTCTTTTTTCAATATATATAAATGCTGAACTTTGTTATTTTCTAGTGCTTAAATTAACCTCCTGACAGTTTTTGCCTCATGACAGAACAACACTTATATTACAGAGAAGAGAATGATACAAAGCATAATTTTTAAACATAAATGAGAAATTTTGTATATTAAGACAAACTAAAGTTGTAGTGTCATAAAACAAGCATAGTGGTTATAATAAATTATAATGTGATACTATTTAATGAAAAATATTCTTTTATGATTTAAACTCACTGGCATTCTAATTTTGAAAACATATCCACATTTAATAATAATATTAAAAGCATTTAGTAATAATATTCATAAAAAATTTAGTGAAAAATAAAAGTAGTAATTTAAATAGTTTCTATTTTTTTAATTAGTAATTTAAATAAATCAGGTTCCGCAGTGGACTGATCATAAAGACACAGCTCCAAGTAGAACACCGAAGTCAAGCATCACTGGCTGCGGTCAGTGAGCCGGTGTTGACCACTTTGATCAGCCTGTGTAGAGACCGAGGGTACGCAGTATTGGTTCTCATTAAACTGTTCTACTGAAAATTGCTCGACTTCGCAGGCAGGTCGTTGGGCTACCAAAGCAGGGGAGCCATCCCCTCTGCAGATGATGAAAATTAAATTAAATGGTTTATTTCCTTAACTATCTCATAGAATGTACCTCGAGTGGTCACTTTTTAAAAAACAAAAATAAGAAATAAGTCTACGTATTTTCCCAGTTTGTAAGGGAAAACTCAAAATTCCCTGCATTTTCCTATTTATTTTAGGTGACTTTTAAATTCCCTGTATTTTTCAGATTTTCCCTGTTCTCCCTGTGGAGTGGCAACCCTGATAAAGATAAATATTAACTTATACACTCGAAAATATAGTAAGTATATTGATAGTTATGCAGACTTAAAGAAACATGCAATGTAATTTTCATGATTTTTAGAATTTCAGGCATATTTTAACAATGTTGGGGAAATCCAGCACATTTCTGCAGAAATAAATTATCATTAATCCATTTAAGATATAGGAATTAAAGATTAGGCAGACATGCTAATATGGAAAAAACATGAGCACTTTTTCTAAAGTTGCATACAGAAGCAAAAAGTTAGTTATATATTCAGCCCATATGCACTTATTATTGCAAAAACCTTAGAAAAATCTTTACATACATTTTCCCTTTTCTTTGATGAAGAATCTTGGGAAATTTCCTGCAGGTTAAAAGTAGTTATTTTTATGTACTAAAAAGTCAACTTTATGAAAACAATTGGTAAAGAGAAGATCTAAAAAATTTGTCACAAAATATGATGCTAATACGAACTAGATGCAATTTATATGCTTCATTTTAAATTATTTTAAAATTTATTTATTATTCAATGGTAAAAAAAATTCTTTTAATACAAAAATATTCCTAAACTTAAATGGTATGTAATAAAAAAACTTATTAACTTAGCACAATTGCACTAAAGTTAAATATATATATATGTATATATATACAAATATTAGTTTAATTTTTTAATTTAGTTAACATACTTTCGACATGTAGGCAATAGTTTATAAGTCACAAAATTTTTTATATATTTATAAATCTAATTAAAAAATTCAAAATCTCCTAAAAAATTTATTTAGTTTATTAGTCTAAACTTCTTTCAAAAGAGGTTTCAAAAACATTATATGAAACTCCCTAACTAAAATAAAATAAAATTTATCATTCACATTTAAAATGTATTTACAGCAAATTCAATAATTTTAAGGTATTATTTAATTTCTTAATTTTCTTATAAATAGGCTGATTCCTAAACTAATTAATGAAATAATCTAAAAGCCAACATTTAAAATTGATAGATTTTTATGATTATAAACATTGCTTAGAAATAAAGATTTTTTAGAGACTCGAAGTTATAAGTCAATCAAAACAATAAGAAATAAAGATTTTAAGACAAAATTAATTTTTATGCATATTTTTTAGTACCATACATATGATAATTTTCAAACAAGCTTGTAATGAAAATAAAATTATGTTAGAGTAGACCTTAGTATATTCTAACTTACAATTATTAAACCCAACTAATATTTTAAAAATTAAACTGTTTAAGTACAATTTTTGCAGCTGTATATTTTAATTAAATAATACAAAGAATATTAAAACATATACATCGTGCTATTCTTGTAAAACCTTGAATGCTAAAAATAAGTAAAAACTATACCTCAGAGGTTGGGATTTTTAACCACTCAGATGTACCAATTTCCATTACTTCTATTTCTTGCTAATTGGAAACAGAAATAAAATCGTATAAATTTTTTGAAAATACAAATCAAGAAATGAAAATATTTCAACTTATTACTTGATTTAAGAATACAAGATAACAAATGATATACTTACTTCACAGTTGTTTACTAAAAGATAATAAGGTGTGAAGATAACCATTTTTGTTAATCCAGCTTGACTTAGCTTTATTTGCACTCCTAACTGTAACATTAAATATAAAGCTAAGTAATTAAAACTACACATGTTCAAAACATTATGAAACTTTAAACAACATTTTCAGTTTGACTACATTAATTTTTAAAAATTAATTAGCATGAAATGGATTCTTATCATACAAATTTCACTTAGTTATATTCTTTCCTTTTACACCAACTTATATATACATATACGTAAAATAAATAACACAACTAATTTGGAGTATAAATTTTTTTCCAAACTGATATTAGGCAACAAAGAATACATATGAGCTTTTAAGCTAATTGAATTAAAAATAGAAATAATGTCCAAAAATGCAAGGAAGTTGAAACACCTTTTTGAATGCATTTTACATCTTAGAAATCAATTACACTTTTGACATCAATAAAAAAAAGTAAAACAACATAAAAAGAAAATTAAATAGTAGTTAAAAAGAACAATAATTTTAGTTCTATATTAAATATCCTTTAAAGATGATATACTAACTACAGTACATCAGATGGAAATACTTGATATCTCTTTTAACCATTTGATTTGTGCTTTGTACATTGTTCCTGAATTTTATTAAATATGATTCAATTTAAATGCAAACTTTATTTGGTAAAGAATTTTATCAGAATAATACACATAATTACATTTCTTAAAAATAAACTAATCACATAGCTGAAATACTGGTCTAATAATGCACTTTTTAATATTATATGCATACTAAATATACAAGCTAGCAAACAATATTTGCTTATTTTAATGTTTAGTTTTGAACAAATTGTAATCGATTTCTGCTAATTTAAGCTAGAATTAAGATATTTATACAATCATCCTCAAGCCTGGTAACAAGGGGTGTCAGAAAAATTTTTTACATTAACTTATTCACTGTATTACACTTCTTATAAATTAAAATGTAATTACTCCATATGTTTTCCCACTCTTGGTTTTTGCAATAACAGTTCCAGAGCTTCCAACAGCATCCAGAGAAAATTTGTCAGACCACTCAGAATCTCCGATTTTCAATGATGCCTGAAAGATGAAAAAACGAAGGAGCAGATTAATTTTAACACGTTCAAAACAAAGAAAAACGAATTAAAATTCAATACAACAATTTGGTATCATCAAATTACAGGTGTGGGTTAATATTTTCAAATCATCATCAGTACCACAGCAGCCCAATAGGGAACGAGGCTTTCCCTTAAAGAGATTTGCTTACATTCTGTGTGACAATGGTATCCCAGTTCTACTTGACCTTAACCTTTGTTTTTCAAAAACTCTTTCAAATAAATGCATTCAACAGAACTTAGGATGCCCTTTTAATCTTCAACTCGGTGGCATCAATAATAAAAGCTTTTTAAAAGTATTCAAACAGTGATAAAATCTTAGGTCTAGCCTATGAGATCAAACATTCAGAATTCCAACAGTTAAAACAAGATTCCACTTCTCACTATCCTTATTCTTTTTTGACCTTTGTAATGTCTGGTGGCTATTTTCTTCATCTGATTTCTCAATAATGAGATTATTTGCGAAACTCTACCAGCAAGAGGTTCACTGTGTTCTTTTTAAAATGTCTCCTTATTTTGTCTAGCTAGGGTTAATTATAAACCATTTAATGCATTCAAATAACTATTTATAAACTTTGTATGGTTGAAAGCATTTTCAGAAAAATAGAAGTCCAAATTCATAATTCAATATATGAAATGAACAGATTTATACAGTTATAAAGCTGTTATTCTATACAGCCCATTATTGTTCGAATGCTTATTTTAGTTCATTCTAGCACAAGGACCCTAAGGTTTTTTTAAATCACAGGTGAAAAATAATTCAAAGATTTAATAGAATTTTCAGTCATCTCTTCTCTTCGAGGAAATTTAAAAGACAAGAGCTCAGCAGTACATAATTTTTAACTAGCATACCCGCTTCGAAATCAGTTGCATAATTTCCGTACACATTGTTATGACTAAAGAGGTCCTTCGTCTCCCAACTGAACTCAACTGACATAAGGGAGGTGACAGGGAGGGAAATTTCTAAATATGTTTTTAATCCTCGATATTTATCTTTGACAAGTAAATTTATAATGGGTATCATTTATATTTGGCAGTATCTTTCGACACATGTACAATGCAAAGCGCCAACGCAATCACAATTTGAGATATAACGTGTGTGTTATACTAGATTCTCGATTGTAAAACAGTTTTTGATAGATAACAAAAGAGTATACAATTGTCTGTTTTTAGATATCTGATAAGAACTTTGTTTTTATGCAATTAAAGTTGAAAGAAATTTTTACCAATTGCTAAATTCGTGAAGTAATTTTGAAAATAGTTAAAGACATAATTAATTCCTTTTTCCAATGTAATTTAAATTTGGACGTGCCTCTTATTGCAGGTTTAAATCCTATTCTCCTCAAATAATTTCTAACTAAAATGCTATACAGGATTGATACACCATAGCACTATGGAAAAGCATTTTCAAATTGGGTTAAGACACATTTGTTTGAAATTTTGTTCTCGGATGTAATTTAGGATGTACTTTTAACAGCAGACCTAAATCCCAAATCTTTTTATGAAGAATTCTTAACTAAAATACTATACTCCAATTAAGATAAAAGAAGTCAATTTAAGAGCGTTCAAAGCAGTGTAAATTTTTTTTTAATGTTATTAAAATAACAAGAGAAAGATGCACAAATAAATGATGAAAAAACGTTTAAAAGGATAGTGTTCAGCAGAATTGATGATTCAAGATGCAAAAAAAGGTAATAATTTCCTTCAAAATTCATAAACGTACTGAAAAAATGTTTTAAAACAATTACTTTCAAAAAAGGTTTAAATTTTTTAATATATTGTTTTAAATTGATTTGCAGAAAAATGAATCTGAATGTAATGATGAAGGAGAAAAAAGAAAAACATTAAGCTAAAATGTAATTTAGTAGGTAGATATATAAAAAGATAATAGATAAGACTCAAACAAATTGAGTTATTTATAAATGCAAAACACATTAGGTGCCAATCAATTTTTTGATGTACTTAACATTTGTCACAGACTTAACAGAAATAATTACTAAACATTTTTCTATTGTTATCCAATGGAGAAGTTCCAATGTTATCCAATGGAGAAGTTCTGCTCTGCAGATTATTTTTTGTACAGACTTATGAAAGTAGATTGACAGTAAAAGAATAAAAGAGTCAACTTCTTAAGAGAGATGTTATATAAAAGGGCTACAAAAATATTCAAAATATAAAGCAGGACCTTCAAAAGAGAGTGAAAGCGTTATTAAACTTTTACAATTATTATAATCATTGTGAATATCAGTAACTTGATGTAAGAAAGTCATCAGCTTTACATTATGAAAAATTAGATTAACCCTCAGAGGGTAAGTAGAGGTTAGTAATAGTTTTTGAACAAACATTAGTTAAAAAAAACTAATTAATTTAGCTAAAATTAATTTAGTCAATTCAAACTCAACAAAAAAATATTATTTGATAAGAAATATAGAACTTAAAACTGCAATTATATGCCCTTTACCTTTTTCTTTGCAAAAAATGCTTTAGCTTTAAAAGAAAACATCACTGGATTAATTTCAGCAGGATGTCGAATAATATTATCTTCTTCTCCCTAAACAAAAATAAATCATGATTGTAATAAAAATAAAATATAATTCCTCTTTAACAATAATCATGTTTAATTCTTTAAACAAACTACTTTAAAACAATTACTATTATTAGACAAATTAAAACAAAACTTAATAGACTATGAACTCGTGTGACACAAATGAATAAATAAATAAAAACAATAATAATAATTAAAAACAAAGTTTTTTGCTGTTGTTGCAGAAGTGGGATAGTGAAAACAATGTTAAAGTCGCTTAAGTTTTTCTTTAAATATCTGCAATTTTTTAAAAAAATATGAAACCATGAAAACCAAATTCTAAAAACAATTATTATAACTTTGAAGAAAAAAATGTTCAAAGAATATTCGTGAAACCAGCAATATCATAAAAAGTAGTACGCTCTTTCATAAATCATAGGACCCAATTTCCCATTAAAAAATTTACAATTAAAAATAAAATTCAAAAGAAAATAGTTAATTAATTTCTTGATATCTAAATTTTTTTAAGCTATTTATTAAAACACAAAAAAATTATTCGAAAATTAGAAAAATATTATTATTTAAAATAGCCAAGATTTTTAAGGAATACCACTGAAATATTACAGTAAGTGGTTAGTTCTTTCAAAAAATTGAAGGATATAAATTGTCTTTTAAAAATAGGCAATTAAATAGAAGAAAAATGAAATGACAGAGTCAATCTAAGAAAGCAAGATTTTAAATTAAATTTTACCATAACTTAAACAGATAATGCACACATCTTAAATATTCAAATTGAATTTGTGGAAAAAAAATGTCAGCCTGTTTTTCATAAATTTTATGAATAATATGTGATACATAATTTAATGCTTCAATGATATAAACCAAGTAATTTAAATAAATTCTAACTAATAAAAACTATAATTAATTAATTAATTACTGTTCTATATATTGAAAGAGGAAATAAGATTTATTATTTCATGCAATATAATGAGGTTTGTGGGGAAAGAGAGCCTAATATTCACGAAGTTAAAACTCTTGAAATTTTTTCTATTTCAAACACAATTTAACCCTTTCGATCAAATTTTTACCTGATTAAAATTTAACTAAGAAAAATAGTTTAGTTCAATATTTAAATGCTAAAAGAAGGCCTAAAGCAGTTCTGCAGAGCCCCACAGGGGTTCCAAGAGTTAAAACATTTTGTTTTGAAAACCAATCATAACTTTTGAAACCTGTTATTATATTTATTTTCAAACAAATCATTTATTTAATTATTTATTGAATATTTCAGTCATTTCTATGAAATTATTTAAGTAAAATGTCAGTGAAATAATAGTGTTATTTTTAAAATATTTTTTTTGAATAACAATGTATTGAATAAATTATTTCAATTATTATCATTCTATAAAAAACATTGCATTAATGCTTCCCATCAAAATTTTCAATTTAAAGAGAATAATAAAATTCAACCATAAAAATTGTGTTTCTTTGATAAGCATTTTCAACATTTTTGACAGTTCATTCAATGTTTATAATTCATTTTCAATTCAATAAAAACCATAATTCAGCTTATTTATTTTTTCATTTTTAGCCTATGCGTACACTAAGAACAAATTCAAAGCTTAAAGATGGAAAGGGTTAAGTTAACACCCGAAAAAAAATTTTTAGTACTACTTCGTTTTAGAAAAAAAAAAATTTAATAAAAAGATTTACATAATGTTAAACACACAAATTACTAAAAATTACTTAAAGTATAATACTCAAATTTAAATTTAATTCAAAGAATTAGAGGGTGGGGAATCGAAACATAAAACTATAAGTGGAAAAACAAAATCTGCTCTCTTCAAATGTATAGTGGTTAAACTTTAAGCTAACTCACAGTGAAAAGGGATAACATTGAAGATCTTGATCCAGAATCCTCACTGTCAGATAAGTTGGACAGCTTGCAGAAAATTAAGCACAAATTTATTGATAAGTAAACACACAAAGAGATGCTAAATGATATAGCATGTTATGAATACTGAATTTTCTAGCTTGATATATTTAACGGTTTTGAATTACAAATTTCAAGTTTAGTGGATAGGAAAATTAGATTGCAAATATTTAGCAATCAGCAATGTGAGTGAGCAGCTGCAGCATTAAATAAAGCAATTAAGCAGTGATGTATTTCAAAATGTAATAAAAAAAATAGCTGAAATATCAAAAAGAGAAAAACTTTGAATCAGGGTGGAATAAAAAAAAGACTAAAAGCTTATTCAAAATTATTATAATAATCCTTATAAGATGAAAAAGTAGAATTTATCGAAGTCTATAACACATAGAAAAGAAAAAAATTATTAGCTTTAATATTACAGAACATTATACCATATTTTAATTCATTGATGGTTAACCAATAACTTTTAAAATAATAATTAGTTTCAAAAAATCAACTGGAAAATTACTGGAAATTATTTTGTTCGAAAACTTTTTGATTTCTTTTAAAAAGTTGTCCTTTAAATGAAAGCAAATTAGTTTTTGTAAAAATTATGAAATAAAAAGCCCAAATGCTCATGGTAAAAAATTGTTACTAAAGAAAACTAATCGTTAATTTTTGAAAAAAGTATCTTGCATTAAAAAGACATAAATAACAACATCTAAAAAATCAAGTAATATATAGGATAAATAGAAAGTCTTGGATTGGGAAATCTACATATTTCTATTAAAATTATAATAATAAAAAAATATGCTAAATAATTAAAAAAAAAGATTTAATCTAAAAGATAATATATCTTTATTATCCCTTTCAGAAAATCTTATCATTTTTCAGAGGATCAGAAATGAAACATAAAACCTCAAAAGCTAAACTACAGAAAATGAATAGAACTTTTATTTTACATTAATTTCACTACTTTTTAGAATTTATTTTTATTTTAGAACTTAGCTTCCTCATGGACTTTTTATTCATCATAGATATTATGAAACTTGATTTTTCCAGAACGTAAGAAATAAACCTTTTTTTAAAATCCTTGCTTTAAAACTTAAGACTCAAATCTAAAGCAGAGATAAAAGGCATTTTTAAAAAACTTTCAGCTGAAGCAAAGGTTAAGAAGGTTAAGTTTCTAAAACAGGAATAACATGCTAGAATTTGGCTTTATTGTTATATTAATAACTTATTAAAAGTTAATTATAAAAAATAATTAATGTATCTCAGATTATGTTATCTGATCTCGATATGTTGTAGTAGAATGAAAAGACAAAACAAGATTTAATAAGTCATAAACTACAGGCTAGCATAAAATAAGCACAACCAAGATTATAGTTAAAAATTTAGTCCCATACTTGGTTAAGAATAAAATATGCAATTTTAGTAAGTTAAAAATACCATTTGGACATAAATAAATATTCATTAAATAATAAATACAAAATAATGCAGGATATTCAAAAAATAATTTCAACCACTACACAAAATACTTACACTAAAACATCTTAACTATGAGTGTATTAAAAATTGTAATGGTAAATACTAAACACTGAACAGATTTCTAAAATTTAGAACAATGCAAAAAACTATAACTAAAATTAATACTAATACTATTCTATTCTGTGAAGTTAATCACTGATTATAATAACAAGTATTAAGAAAAGGAGAATATAATACAAAAACACAACACCTAAAAATAAAAAAAAAGCTACTCTTCCTTCTAAATATACCTTCAAAGAGTACAAAAGCATGGTTAGGATTAATGAAAAATGACTTTGATCTACTATTTTATTCCAAATATTTATATTTCAAAATTTTTTGCATTCTATAAATTTACATTTTATTTTCATTTGCATAAATCTAATCTATTCATTACTTAATGTTATTTACCTTCTTTAAAATGTGACATTTGTTAAAATGTTCTGCTATTGCACTTTTTATATATAATTTTAACTTTTAACAATATTAAAGGATTATCCAACATTTAAAAAAAATATTTCTCAATTAAAACAAAAGAGTACTTCAAAACAAAAAAAGGAGTAAAATTAAAGAGCGCTTCAATAATAAATTAAAAAAACAACAAATCTGCATGCGCTAAATATATAGTTTAAAACTACTGGTATTTTCTACTTCAAATGTAACTAAAATTTGAAGTTATTAATGTGTGCAAAGTAAATAATAAATAAAAAAACTTATCAACACTCTTGTGGCATCTATAGAAAATCTAAAATACAGAGAAGTGATGCACTAATCTCTTAAAAATTATTTAGTAGTATATTTTAGAAGAAAATTGCAACTAAAATTATTCAAACATATATTTCCAAAACTATTAGCAGCAAAAAAAATTTTATTTTTTAAATGGCCTATCTTTAACAAATGTTTTAACTCAGTTTACAAAAGTGTTACTAAAAAAATAATAACAATATAAATTTCATTGAACAGTTTCTTATTTTTACATATCGTTTAACCATTATATTGATATTTAATAACTGTATAATTTAAATAAGTGATTAAAATTATGTGCATTATTTAAGTATAAATAACTTCATATACACAGTAGAAGCTTGACTATCCAAAGCTCTTTTATATGGAGAGTTTTGTTTACCTACCTGTATTTCTAATTTATCTTTTAAATTTTCATTCTAGTTTTTGTCATAATTATTAGATATTGTAACACTGTAACCAATTTCCAAAACATTGCACTTGATATAATAATTAATAAACAAAGTCATTTTCATCACTCAGAATTGCGATAAATGAAAATAAACCTCTCTATCATATACCTGCCACGTCATTACCAGAATGGCTTTTCTAAGAAGTAAAGAAGTGATTATCGGATGATAGTTAAAAGAACATATGGTTTTATATTTTGCCAGAATTTAAAAACAGCATTGTGAGATAATCATACAATCATAAACACATGTATTTATTTATATGTAGTGGTGATCCAAATCAACTGAAATTAAATTTATAAATCAAAGAATTAAATTGAAAAATATTAGTATCGCTATTACTTCTAAAATAAAATAAAATCTTACAGAAAATCCAAGAGAAATGGCTGTTATATCATGAAGCTAATTTATAGACATATTATGATGTGAAGGAGCTTTCACTTTCTAACTTATGTATGATACCCAATGGCGTGTATGATACCCAAGAGACATATATAGTAGAACTCTGATTTAACATCACCCGTTTCCGCCTTTAACGCCAGCACAGACTACGAGAATTTCAAATAATCTTTCAATGTTTAGAGAATCCACTAATTATATAGTGAATCAGAAAGCGAGAGTGGAGGAATATTTAAAAAAGTATAAGTAAATTTATATATATTTTATCTATACCATGCAATTTTATATCAGAAAACTTTGATTTTTGCTTATTTGTAACCTAAAATAGTAGATTTTGTGAGAAAAAAAAATTGTATTGAATTAGGATGGAAACATGGAAAAATTTCACTAAAATGTGGAATTTTCATATCAAATAATTGTAATAAATGTCAGAATTATTCAAATCGAATCTCAATCCTTGACTACTGTTACAGAAAATTCTGAGACTGGTTATTTTCTAAGTATAATGTAGAAGTTTTCCAAGTTTTTGCAAAAAAAATAAATAAACTTTCTTTGAATATTTCCTGCCTTTTAGATTCAAAATGAAATTCTCTCTCAATTTTAAGTTTTTCCTATTCACTTTGACCTGTTGGAGCCCTGAAAAAAATCTCAGCAGTTGGAAATATTCAGTTGGAAAATCTCAGCATTTCATAAATAGCAATTATGATCAGTCTCATTTTATTAGAGAATTTTCAATAACGAATAAAGGCTCAGTGCTAATTACTTCAGATAATCAAGATTCTACTGCACTTGATAGTTATAGAAAATAAACTTCATAAGGGTCTTAGAAGAAACAGAATTCATATAAATGCACAAAATACTGTAATATTAAACAATAATTATAATTCATTAATAACTTTAACTGGAAGAAGCAAATTAATATGAATTAGAAAAAAATACACATTAGTAATACACACCACCAAAATATTATTCATATTAGTTAATTAGTAATAGAAAAAGAAATGGAAAATTAGTAGAAAAGTCAACAACCATGAAACCCATTGGTTTGATTGCCACAAGCAAAGAAAAGCTAAGAAAAAAACATGCATGCAAAATTTTAAGTGGAGAAAATCACCTTGCGATTCTTTCCCTCAAATTTCTCGAACTTCTTTGATCTCTGTGCAGAGAAAAAGAGAAATAACGTGATTCTCAAATGAAAGAAACCTTATCTGTTCTCTTAATTTTCCATGTTAAAGTATTTACAAATAATAATTATGAAGGTTTCAAAGTGTAACACTTCAAAAATATGCATGTTCCAGCACTTAATATAACAATACTTCTTAATTAATTTTGAAGGAAAAAAAAAAAGCCTGTACTGATTTCCTACTGTGATTTTTTATAATTTAAGGTTAAAATATGGCATGTTAATAAGATTGCATTACATATAGATGTGTACAGTAAATTTAAGCCTTGAAATACTAATTTTGAAAATAAAAATATTCATTAATTTAATTTACATTCATATTCCACATGGAAAAAAAGTCAGTTTGACACATGATTTAATTTTTTAAAAATATTATTGTAGGCATTATTTCCCGATTCGTATTTTCCCTTTCTTTATTAAAAAATGTCTTTAGTTCTTATTGCAATTTCAATACTTCAAAATGATTTTAAAATTTATTATTTATTTGTAGTTCTCTATACATATATTAATTAAAAAAGAGAGCTCTAAATGGAAAAGTATGTGACGAGGACAACACAAAATGCTTTGAGAGATTTTGCTAAACAGAGATCTTAGCTTAGCGCAACTTATGTTTAAACTCACCGATGAATAGCAACAAGATTTGAAATCAAGACGCTTTCTTGTTTCCTAAATTTAGAAAGCAATATTAATGCCAAAATGTAAAGAATTTCTATACATTTATAAAAAATTTTAAAAATATATTTTGACTGACAGATGCTCATTACCTGTTCATTATATAAGATGCCACTGTACACTAACAGTAATTTAAAAAATATGGAATTTTATGAATAAAAATTAAAATTCTAGTAATAAATGGATTCAGTACACATACCGAAAAATGAAAAACTGCTTAATTGAAAATAGTATTTAAAAATAAATTTAAGAGATACAACTTTTTGAGTTCTGTTCCTTTTCTATTTAAAAAAAAGGTAATGCCATTTTGAGCCTGTTTTACTGAACAGTGTTTACTGTATTGAATGTAAACACAGAAATCACTTTTTTATGCCATTTAAATAGTGATACTTATGGTTATTTCTTGGCAGGAATAAATAGAGAAATACTGAAAACTGCCAAAACTATAAAACAAAAGTAATGCTTGAAACTCTTAAATATATTGCATCAAAACAGTTAACTATTTTAGTATAACATATTTCTGAATTTCAATGCAGTTTTCTGTCTTTCAGTACAATAATCATGAGGTTTTTTGTTTTCTTAATAATTACTATATAGCTATTGGCTTACACACTATAAATGTGCTATCTCCCTTTCATAAAATTTTTTTAGTAACATATCTCCAAAACAAGCGAATATCGTGACATTGTCTAAAAATAAATAAGATATTTGAAGTAACTTAAAAGAAAAAGTCAGTAAATAATTAAAAACATTATTCATCATCAAAATATCATTCAAAACTATTGGGGCTGAACTTAAATATTAATTGTCCAAAAAGTTTTAAGTTGCTTCAAAAAATAAGTTTGATATCTAAATTCCTATGTATTTTAGTTTGAGAATTATTCCTGTGTATTTTTTTTAAAGTAATACAAAGCTAAAAATAAATGTAAAAAAATGAGAAAAAAATATCAGGCAACAAATTTAAAGGAGATAAAGTTTCAGGCATTACAGAAAATAGATAACTAAAAGAGCAAGAAAATTGTGAGGTACAATAAATTTTTTTCCTGAAACATATCTCAATCAGAAAATATTCAACTTAATATACAACTGTGCATTACACTTAGAGAAGTAATACATTATCATTATTTAAAATAATAATATTGATAAATAAAAATCAATTCAATGATTCAAAAAGGGATTGTGCATTAAAAAATTTTTTTAACTTAAAAATGTTGCAGAATTTAACTAACAAACAATATATATTTATATAATAATTTTACTTAAAATGAAGAACTGTTTGGCATAGTTAAAGGATAAATAAATTCCATAATAAAATAACATTTAAATTTCATTTTAAAATTCCTATTCATGAGATTTTTCTATTTAAATTTTATTAACATAATTTTTAATTGTTTTAATTTAAAAAATTAAGTTTAGAATTAAAAATTGATGAATTTAAAGCCTATTATGAGCCTGAGTATCTAAAATAAATTATTTTTTATTTTATTTAATATTCTTTAAATATGATCTTGTTAATATGTTTCCTGGCTTGTCAGAGAAATATATTTACCAAGAACAAAGCAGAAGGGTTGAATTGAATGTGCATTTTAAGTTAAAATAATTCATATTCCAAAACTTCAATATTTAATTTCAACAAACTCTACTGCTTTAAAAGCTTATGTTATCTTTTTATACTCTCAGAATATCCTAGAAGTTGACTCCCTAAGAGATTTCAATTTTTCAGAGGGATTTCTTCTCACTATAAATTTTAATTTAATACCATGATGTGTTTAAAAACTATATAAAAATTTATAATTTTCAAGATTTTACCCATTATAATTTTTACTATTTATGTTACACTATTTTAATTTTTTTTTAAAAAAAACCTAATAACTTTAAAGTAATATTTTTATGTTGTGATTCTTAAAAGACAATTTTACTTGAAAAAGATCATAAATTGAAAGTTCATATCTTTAATATTATTTCAATCTATTAAAAACAATACACAATACTTTTAATACATATATGTCATTCAATAATAAAAATTTTCACTTCAAATTAATATTTTTAGCAATGCATTTAAAATTTTTTGCATAATACTATTGCTACCATGCATCAAATCAATCCTAAACTAAACTAATAAGAATTCCTTTAACAAGTTCAAAGTAATTACTTCTGCTATAGCTTTTGCTCATCAATGTACAAATATGCACAATAAAAATAATATTAAAAATAATAGTCTTTTAAAAAATACCTATTATTTTTTTAATTTGACATTAAAAAATTATTTTGGAATAATTCGAATTCAACTTTCTGAAACACTAAGCATAAAAACTATACATCTATTTATAATACAACATTAATTTTGATTAAATTTTATGCAATGCCTAAGTTGTCTAAAATTCATTTCCTTTAACATACATTAAATTTCAGTCTACAATGAATGAAATGATAAAAGCACAAATATATACTTACAAACTGGTCAAAGCAAAGTAATAAATTGACAGGTGAAAGATAACTACTTACTCTGTATGTTAACATCATTCCAGTTTTATTCACCATGCAAAATGGTGAATACAGTTGCATAACAAGGCAACCATTAATTCTTTGTGAATGCACTCCTAAAGCCTAAATTAAGAAATAAATTTTCATTTAAAATTATTAATTATTAACTATAAAGATAAGATAGCAACAGTGAAACTTAAAGTACTAGTGGAAACAAAATGAAAAAAAAATATTAAGTTACAAAAAATTTGATAAATATGAAAACTTATTTATGTTATTTTATTTATCTGGTGTTTATTTATTTTACAAGAAATTTTCTCGATTTCTTGTTAAAATTAGAGAACAGTTAAAACTTTTCTCGATTTCTTGTTAAAATCATCAAAATAAGTGGGATTCATAAATTATTATTATAAAATATTTCACAAAACATGTATACAAAAAAAAGTCTAGTTCATCTTTGCAGTCCAAGGCACAATTGTCCTCTTCATATTACCATTCTAAATATCAAAATTTTGACCTCTTTATGTCTAATGACCATTTTTTAGCGGTTTTCAGCAATTATACAGCAAGAGTGTAAATAGTACCTTTTTTTCATATAAACTTTTAGTGGTTGTGTCCATTTTCAACACTTAAAAGTGCAAAAGATTGAGGTAAAGGGTTCTAAATATTGTAATTTTAAACCATTGAAATTTCAGTTCAAAATTTTAGAGAAAAGTGGAACTCTAAATTAAAGAGTCCCATGAAAGAGCTTTTACATTCAGAAATACTTTCTTGATCAGGATGTTTTTAAAAATGTTTAAGAAAATCATACACTTCAGTATTTTAAGGCTTGTTAATTTGATATAGAAACTAACAGCCTTATTTTTCAACTACTAGTGTTATTTTTGAAGAAGTTTAAAACTTAATTATGAAAGACAATCGAAACATTGAAATATATTTAGGATGCATTTCTTTAGAAAATTATAACTTTCTGCCTATTCTCTATTTTTTGATTGGGAAAAGACTTAACCATTAAAAAATCCCCACAAATTAAATTTTTTTTAACAAAGCAATTAAACTTACAAATAGGATTTTATGTTTGTGAGACTAAACATTCTTAAAATTATAAAAGAAAATAAACAAAAGAAAAAAAACTTATTGAATTTAAAGTAACAGAAAAAATCATGTTATAGACATTAGCATTATAAAAATTTGACTTTATTTATACGATAAAGCAACAGAATCATTTTAAGTGCTAAATATTTGTACTAACTAAATGCAAAGTTCTGTCGCTGGTGGGGGAATCAAATACCCAAACACTGATTTCATCCACTTGTTTCTTCAATACTTTGTAGCATGTCCAATTTCTATCTAAATAGCTGTTTATCTGCAAAAAGAAAATAAATACTTTATCTATGTTTAAAATTTTCATCAAAAAATAAATACTTCATCTATGTTTAAAATTTTCATCAAACAGCAATTTTGTCTGTTGCAAGTAATAAGAAACTTTAATTGATATATTTATTATCAAAAAAAGGAGTTTTTCAAAATAATAATTGATTAGGTAAAATTTTGTGCCATGTAATGAATTTTTCAGAACTCATTCGTGAGGCCACTTCCTCAATTTTGACATGGATCTGAAGGAGAAGTAAATTTTCTCCAAATCCCTGTACTTCTCAATGATAAACCACATGACTTTTGATTCCAGATTTTATGAAGATGTAAATAGCATGTACTCAGTGGGTTTTTGTAGAGTCGAGGATGAACCCTGGCCCTTCCGGTCCACAGTCCGATTCTCTACCCACTGCCCTTACAAAGTAGGCTAAGACAGTCAATCCAAAAACTGTTTAAAATGTAAAGACTAAAATTTACTTGACCTTAGACTTTATTAACTTATATAATGAGGCAGATGCAATTTTTTTTCAAGATGTGATAAAAGTTGATTGTGGATTGTTTATATTGTTGGTGCAAAAGAGTTTTTCTAACCAATTACGCAATAATGTGTTGTTATAGAATATTGATCTCAACATGCACAAGCAGATGTAATGAAAAAGTACTTGTCATGTTGTATCTCGAATAAATGTTGACTGTTATAAATTAGTTGAATTTTCTTTTATGATTATTAACAAGAGCAAAAAAGTGATAATAAAGACTTAAAAAGTCCATGACCTAAATGTGCTTATTAATGCTGATATAGGATAGTTTTCAAATACTGTTGCCAGTCAAATTAAAAAAGTTATAACTTTAAAGTGATTTTAGAGATTACAAATCGTATAAATTTGGTATGAATCAAAATCACAAATTCTAACAAGTTTCAATACATCATTCAAAGAGTACTAATATTTTACACACATAAAATTTTCCACGACTTCTATATTATGATTATATGTTGTTGAATTAACATTATAATGAATGTATGTGTGAAGAAAGAATAAATACAAATAAAAAAGAACAATTCTTTAAGAATGCACAATATAATAGAAGAAAAACAAGTCCTTACTCTTATTTCAAGGCCAAGTTTATCTAAATCAATAGCCCACAGGTCATGACTTTCTCCTTCAGCTAAGCAATAATCCTTACTTACACCCTAAAAGCAAAACATATTTGATGCAATATAAATATTCTTGATAATAAAAATATTACAAAGGTACTGTCAAAAAAGTTAAATTTTAAAATTAGGAATTACCTTCAGTAAACAAAGTTTTACAAATGAAAGTCTAATATTTAACCTAAATTAAATTTTGTTACACTTAATTCAAATGGAATTTGCAAGAAAAAAAAATTCTAAAAATATTATTATGTAAAACTATGGATACTGATATCCTAATCATAATTTTAGGAAAATAAATTAATTATTTCAAAGTAACAAAAAGTAAGAAAGATACTTCAAAAGTCAAAATAAAAGGATGTTCAGAATGGAATTAAAAAAAATTAAAACTCATTATGCAAGAAAAATCAGATATTCAATACCATTTAATAAGAATGGTTAAAGCTTAAAATAAAATATTCTGCTGAAAACTATTTATTAGATTTATTCATATTGGAATAAGATTTTTAATAATGAAAAAGCAAGACAATTTTACAAGAACACATTCATATCTTACTTTATTGCATGAAATTTAAGAAAGCAGAAAGGGAATAAAGTAGTAAATAGATTTATTTTAAGTAACAAAATGTTAATAAGTTAACCTAATTTTGAATTGTAAGCAATATTCTCTAGTAATGTTCAATACCTGCATAGAATAATTGATGGGATATAAAAGCAAGTTCCTTAATACAACAGTTGGATTCAAATGTATTTTGTACAATGAGCTAGATAATGTTTTGCGATTAGTTTCTTCATAATAAATCCGTTCAGCTTCTCCTGCAATCTGCAGAAAAAAAGAAAACAATTATTATTGGTATAAATATATAAATTTCATTATAAAAAGATTTTGTTAAAAGTTACCTACACTTATATAAAAAGGTTTTTTGTTAGATTCTTTATCCTTGCAATGAACTATTTTTTCCGTAGATGAATTATCAACTAAATCTTTCCAAGCAAAGGGAGGAAGTGTCAGTGTATACCTAAAACAAAATGCAAATTCCTTAGTTCCTCAGTTATATTCAAATGCTTATCATATTTAATGCTTCATGCATTAATTTACGCAAAATTCAAAGTTATATATAACTATATTCAAAAAATATAATTAAATAAATTTATCCTCCATGAAAATCTAGAAACATCAAAATTGATTAAAACAAAAAATGGCATCCTTTAAAAAATAAAATCAACTGCAAAAAGTTTTTTTTATGCAAAATAGGACTAACACAAAAAACAATAAGTATCATTTTAACTTTTTATATAGAGCTCTTTATTTGTAACGCTTAATAGAAAAATACTCACAGCGCAACTCACCAATGATAATTTATTGTATAGATTCTTTCTAATAATGACATGAAAGAATAGTTTTCCATTTTGCTCTGGTTGAGAAAATATAAATTTCATAAAAAAAATAGCTGAATATATCAGTTAGTTCTCAAAAACTATAGCTTATTTTATGTGCAGTTTGATTTTGAATGTGTGCACACTAAAGCAAGTTTGTCACAATATTAGTGCAACAAATTTGGAGCTAAAATTAGACTATGAAGTGATGTTAAAGAAAAATCTTCTAAATTTTTTTTATTTTTAAAAATTGCATGATAAATATCTCGATTGCGCTGTTGTGCCACAGGTCCCTGGTTCAATCCTCGGGCCGGGCAAGGTTGACTCTCAGCCTTTCATCCCTTCAGTGGGTAGATAAATGAGTGCCAAGCATGCTTGGGAACTAAACACTGCGGGTTCCGCGTTCGGCTGACCACCTGACCGGAACATCTGCTCCTGCACCCCAGAGCCCAAGAAAACTGAGATGGGCCTTGGCCCTCCATGGGCCAAGGCCCATCGTCATGTCAGCGTCATCGGCATGTCGTCACGGCACGACATGCCGCTGAGTTTAGTTTAGTTTTAAATATCTCGATAATCAGTGCAAATTCAAAAATTTTTTCCAAATTGATTATTTTAGTAGTAAGCAGAATGTATCATTAAAAAATAAAACAATATGCTTCTACAGAAACTGAGAATAAGTAAGTAAGATTTCAGAGTACCCTAAACACCAGGTTTAACTTAGATAATATTTGTTAAATGTAGAACTATGACATTGATAGTCTGGCTTTAAGCTTAGACACACACAATTTTATTCAAACATAATAGACAGCCAGATTTCCCTATTTCATTTCTTTTTCTTTTAAATGGTTCTTAACACATAAAGAAAAAGAAACAAAGCTGTGAGATTGTCTTCTCATTGAAAATTTAAAATTGAATGAAAAACAGTAACTAACGAAGGTTCCAGATGTTTAGGCTTAAAAAACAGTTCACTTGTTGTAGTATAAATAGCATGGAGTGGAAGATTTTCAGTCTTGTCTGGTTCGACTGTGCAACACCATTCAACTTCATTCATTGACTCTTTCATGAAATAGACATCCATTGGTGTAGAAAAATGATTATGAACCTGACAAAAGTAAAAGCTTAATGGAACACAGAAAAATAATGCGTTTTACTTTACATTATAATGTTAATTAGTATGAGTTGTTAACACCAAAATATTTGCTATAATATCTATCAATAATATGTACATTACAAAAATCAAAGCATTTAATACACACTTTAAAAAAATTTTCCTTTATCTATGCTATAAAATAAAAAATGCACAAAAGATCTGTTGCTGCTAGAATTATTATTATTTTTTTTTTTTGCTCAAGAAATCTTTACTTTCCTGAAGATAAAATTAGAAGAAATATTCTGATTTACTTAACCTAAAAAAGTAAACACAAATTTTGTTTTCTAAAAACACCAAAAGTTTTTTTTTCTTTTCTCAGAAATCAAATTACAAAGAAATAAAAGCAAATATTTTACCCTAACTATTTTCAGAATACATACATTAATTAACAAGTCCAATAAAATCAATTACTTCCTTAAAGTGACCTCAAAGTGTTCTAAAAATGACACATTTAATGTTAGATTTCTCAAGAACATGAATGAGAGTGAAAACAAGGCGGCAACAACATACAGGAAAAAAAAAGGAAAGCACAAATTATGTAACTATTTAATGTAACTTTAAATAATGCAACCAACTGTCCTCTATTATCTTTAAATGTAATAAATAAAATAACGTGAAATAATAAAGGATTAAAAAAACGCAATACATCTGTTCATTAATTATAAAAAATAAATAAATTTTTAGAACAGATATCAAGGGTCAATGCCGGTGGACATTGGGACCACTTTGCTGCCTACTCACAACATTCAAATTCTGAAAAATGTCTCATTCATAGAATTCTAATTTGTAAAAACGGTCCCTTCACAAATTAGAAATTTGTAAAAACGGATTCTTCCCAAAATTTCACTATATAAAAACAGTCGCACAAAATTGTTCCATAAGGAATTCTTGGTAAAAAAGACCTGATTTTGTGACAACATCATCAATCGAATGCGTCTAAACTCAATTTCAATATTTTAGACAATTTCCAAGTTTCCTGACTTTTTCCGATTTTCCTGGCAGCACAGCAACTCAGTTGTTGACATATAATTAATTCAGATTAACAGATCTGAACATTATTATGAACTGAGATTAACAGAAAGACAGATTCTGAACACTAGATCAAATCTTATTCAGGGTTCTTAGTAGGGTATTTTTTGTTGTTGCATTGTTCATGCAATAAGTAATAATTATTATATGAAATAGGCATGCAGAGTAATATTAATAAAATAATAAAAAATTTTCATTCTGTGATCTCAGTTCAACATAAAATGTTCAAGTTTTAGTTCTAATGTGTTCTTTCAGAAAAAATGATTTTAATGTTTTAATCTAGACAATAAAATTTTGCAAATCATCGAGGGGAAAAAATTTAAATTATTAATAAATTGGTCACACAAAACCATGCAAAATCATTGAAAATTTGACTGATATCTGAAATAAAATTTAAAATGAATATATCTTTCACTTTCATTCGTTTTAAATTTTAAAACTAGATAAAGTAATTTTTTACCGAACTCAAACAATAAAAATAGTTTAAATTAATATATGAACAGATTTACTTTACCTGCAGGATGGAATGGAATGTGATGAATTTTGAGCCATATAGTGATTGAATAGACATAACAAAACCCCATCGGTTGCCAGGATACGTAACACGAGGTAACTGGAAGAATCGCTTGTCAGTACAAGCAACAGATATTCTTCGTTCAACATTCATACCATCTTCTAAGATCTGCAAAGATTCAAATTTAATATTAAAGCAACATTTCAATGTATTGATTATTTTAAAAAGTCTGAAAAAAATGTTCACTATAGTTTAAAAATGTTTTTTTTTCAATTAAAAATATTTCGCAAAGTTTACGTCACTACTATTACTTCTTTTTACATAAATTCATTTAAATTAATTAAAATTAAAAGTTGTTTAACAGCATTTAATGATGAATAGGATTGTGTGGTAGGTGCAAGAAAAAGGAAAGTCCAGATTCACATATTGTTCGTCAAAGCTAAATGAAATTTAAATAAAAAAGATTCTGCAGTTTTTCTCAGACAGAAGACATATTTTTCACAATCAAAAATGCTTTAAAAATTTTGGACACATCTAGTTCTTACATTAGGCTTATTAATCATGTTGCAATATTAGAATTGATTATTTTATTATTATTTTATTCAGAGACTGCTAAGGCTGGAATTTCTCCTTTATTCTGCAATTTTCTATTATATCAAATTTGTTGTTCTCTAAATGAGTCTATAAGATTTGAATCACAATTATCAACCACATTATTTAAGATTTATTACTATTTAAATTAAGCAAATGAGGAACATTCAATCACTATTACAGCATTTAATAGTGATTGAATGCTGTAAACTTATTTAAAAAATATTTAAGAAGAATTTATTTATTAAATTTAAAAGATAAGTAAGAGTATTTTAATGAATTAAAATACATAATATGCAAAGAAATTCAAGTTTTCAAAATTATCTCACCATTATATTAAAATATGTTTCTTCTTTAGTATCTTGTTTTTTCAAGACAGACATTCTGTTAGAATCTGAATTTTTGGAAGACCCATATACTAAATGCAATGGAGGACAACCAGATTCAAGCTTTACACAGTTGTAATCTTTATCTTCATTTAATACCTGCAATAATTAACAAACAATACTCAAATACATTTATATTATAGAACAATGTTGAGTGGCATATTAAATAGGGTGGGCCAAAAAATATTACTATTTTACCCAGCTACTGCTACAGTTTCAAAACATTTGTATAAGATTGACAAAAATCTTTTTAATTAAATTTTTTTCTGTTTTGATAAATCGTCTGAGCTTTACTCTGGGCTTTTCCGAATTTTAAGATAACTGCTTTTGTGCACCAAATAACTGATTTTTTTTTTGGTTCTATTGGATGGTCATATTGTGCAATGCAGAAAAATTTATGTACAAACATTCGGTTAACTGAATATTCGACAAAAGGGCAAAATATTCACAACAGCCCTAGTTTACAGCACACAAGGACAAACTCAGTTTTTCCACCTCATGCAACACAGCGAAAAACTTAAAAGGGAGCTTTTGGTGAATATTTCAAATTTTAGATGATGTAAAAATTTAAATCAACTGCACCTGGCACTGTTTTTATAAATTTTAGTTGAATAAGATTTTTGCAACTTATAGGGATGAGAGTAGTCAAAAAGTGAAAAAGAGGAAATTCAAGAATATATATATATATATATATACATCTATATATATATATTCAAAATCCAAAAATTTGACAAAAAAGAGCGATTTCTAAACTTGTAAATCATGTGATTATAAATCACGATAGTTAATTTTTAAATTGTATGAATATGCATCACATGCATGATTTTAAATTGAGAGAATAAATCATGATGCGTAATTTTTACATTACGTAAATAAAAATCAAGATGCATAATTTTTAAATTGCACGAATATGAATCCAAATGTCTAATTTTTAAAGCACGCATCAATACGAAAATCGATGTTTGATATTACAACCGCATAAACGAATCACGACATTGGATTTTAAGCTCGCGTGAATACGAATCGCTACATAAGCTTTTAAAAGCGCGTAAATACAAATCGCGATATTGGATTTTTAAATCTCGTAAATAAGAATCGCGATTTACGATATTTAAATCGCCTGAATAAGAATCGCAACGTTCAACTTTTAAATCAGATAAATACGAAAATAGATGTCTGATAATAAAATCGCGATTTTAAAAATGCTTCAATACAAAACGCGATATTGGATTTTTAAATCTCGTAAAATAAGAATCATAATTTACGATATTTATCTAGCGCAAATAAGAATCACGATGCGCAACTTTTAAATCAAGTAAATACGAAAATAGATGATTGATATTAAAATCGCATGAATAAGAATCGAGATATTTGCGGAGTCTGGACTAGGGATTTCTGAAAGACTTGTTTGTATTGTTTTTGTTTAGACATAATAAATAAAAATTTACAAGATTAATTGAATGAGCAAATAAATATTTTCACCGAAAATCCACCTCATTTTTTTTTCAGTTTGCTTTCACGCCAAAAAACAGAAAGCAGCAACGTCTGAATTACGAAAATACGAGCTATCAGGCGACGGATAAAAATACGGTAAATATTATTTTCTGCGCGTAAAATCGGGGAAAATAACTAAAAGGTGGAAGGGTTAGCAACTAGGACGCAGTTTGAATATTCTGTTTATCTTTGAAAATCGTAAATAAGTATTATTGTTTTATCTCAATGACTGAATTTTTACAAAAAAAGCAGGATATTTATTTAAAAAAAAAAAAAAAAAACGAAACTTTTAGAGAATCTGAGTTGTTGATTAAAAAAAAAAAGGCTGAAATTCGAGAGACAAAAGCGAAAATCCTCTAAATAGCGGAAAAATCTCATCCCTGATTACAAAGGTCAACCAGTTTTATCCCAAGGAAATGATTTTTAGAGAAACTTCAGAGGGAGGAATGAGGGCTTCAATACTTTCGCTCCGCGGAAAATTAAATTCCTCAAAATATTTTAACTTGCGCAAAAAAAAATTTCGGCCGAAATTAGTGGGAGAAATGGAAAAATCTGAAAAAAAGCGGAAATCCGCGATTCCGCGGAAGAATCACATCCCTGAACTTAACATAAGGATTTTAAGACACAAAAACTTCATAAATTTTTTGTGAATTCGCTTTAAACTTTAACAGTACTAATGTATTGCATGGGGTACATGTTACCAATGTAGTTTCCATTACACTTAGATATTTTGGATTGGAATTGTTGTTTCATGATAAACGTTTTTTTAAGAATTTTTTTGTTCAACAAATCGCCAATTTGTTAAAAATAATTTTAAAAAACCTGTGCAAAACAAACTACAATATTAATAAACATTTTGTTCAATTTTTAGGTAAATCCAATAAAAATATGAAGTTATGAAGCCCACAAGAAGCAAATGAAACTGTGAATGTTTAAAAGATATAAATATTTTATTCCAGTATTTTTAATAAATTTTAGTATTAAACAATTCAGCTTAAAAATATCATTTTAAACTATTTTTTATGGATTTGGCACTGTTCCTGAAAGGCTGTGCCCAGGAACAGATGTTCCCTTTTGCCCTTCGCTAGCTACACTACAGAAAATATCTATCATTTAAAGCAGAATTTTAAAGTACTCTACTGAAATATACAACTTACATTTAAAGTAACAATAAGTAAAAGTAGCAAATAAATATAATTTAAATTGAAATTAAAACACAGATTTAATTTTTTGCGCATGCTTTCTAACAAATACACTAGACACTTTTAGAGCTAAAGCAATAGGAAGCAGTAGATGAAAAAGAAATTTTTTCATCCACCCTAATAAAAAATAATATTTAAATAGAAATAACCTGAAATGTTCCATTGGTCAGGATTATATTGATAGGAATGCCTAAATAATTATTCACATGAAAAGGAGCATAAGGCATTGTAGATTCTTTACCAACAGCTTTGCTCACAGCATCTTGAAATGCCTGGAAAAATGTGGTGAAATATGCAATTTTAGAAGAAATATTTGTATAAATATGTAAAAATAACAATCAATAAGTGAAACTTTACCTGTCCCAAAGTAGACAGAACATCTAAACATGTTTTACTAACTGTTAGCTGAAGAACATCTTGTGCCACTATTTGTAAGCCCATTTGTGGTGGTTGAAACACTACTTCTTCAGGTTCATCATCATCATCAGGACTAAGGTCTAAAGTATCTGTATCTTTGGTTAGCTAAGGTTGATCAGACATAATTTTAGTATTATATAATAGTGACAATAATAAATTCTATAACTAATACTAATGTCAAACAGACACAAAATAAAAAAGAAGAAAACATCAATTTTGAGATTTTTTATAAATAGCTATAAATGCATTTTCTAACTTTGATTTGAAAAAGAAACTAAATGTTGACAGCAGATAAAATATTGATTGTAAATAAATAAATAACTTTTTTTATGCTGCAAATAGTTCTAATTTATTTAGCCTATTTATTAACATCTCATATGGCGTAAATTTGAAACATTATTTTAATTTCGTATTAGCTCTAATACGTTTAAAAATTAATCAATTTTATATTTTAAAAATATAGATATAGTAAAGCTTATTAAGAAGTTATTTTTAACAAAAAATGGAAAACTAAGTCATTACATCCAATTAGAACCCCTGAAAAAAATGCACTGACTACACAAAATGAAAATGTACCTCCAACATTATTTCCCAGGAACGATGTCCTTTAGTTGTTTCTAGTGGTTCAATGATAGGTTCCCATACGGCAATCTTTTCATTATAGTATGACATTTCCATACTGAATGAGCTTCCTACATACAGCTGTTAAGGAAAAAAATTTAAATTATTACATCAGCTGAAAAAAGTAGTTACACATATTATAAAATAACTGCAGCAAAACTTTGCAAAAAGTTTATAAAAGCCTAAAAGACAAATTTACCTTAATAAATTTACTTTAGAAAATTAATGCAATGGTGAAGTTCTACAGTAGATTTAAGCTAAAATAAAAAAATAAATAATCCATTCATAAGACACAGATTTTCTTATCTGTTATTATTCAGTAAAATAAATAAAGTTAAAACATAAATTAGGGTCAGAGAAATTGAAATATAGTTGGAAAAAAAGCTTCTTTAAACTATTTTTAGCATTAGTTAAAAAACATGGCAAAATTTTGAGAAAATTTTTTTTATATTCATATTGCATTGTTTGTTTAACATTTCCAGTTACTTAATTGAGTTATATTTTATAAATAATAATCTTAATAGTAATTACTTAAGTTGATAACTAGCTGGTTTTTGCATGTTAATCATTACAGCAAGACCATGTGTTATTATCTTAAATAATATTATAATTAAAATTCTAAATTATCAATGTTTATAAGGACTTTAAACTAAAAAAAATATACTAATTTAAATCTAGGAAATTTATTTTAAGTGTTATATACATTTTGAAACAATTTTGATTCTCACATAATAAGAAAAGAAAATGCATGTGCTTGATATAACTTACTATAAATGTTAATTAATAATTTGACTATTCCTAATTATTTGTAAAAACCTACTGTTGATGTTTTCTTTTCAATTCATTTCTCTAATCTTTAAAAGAAAATTATAATAGGTAAAAATTAATTACTAATAAAAAAACATCAAGTTACAGATTGTAAAATTTCATTAAATATTAAAACTGTTTTTAAAAATTAATAAGTGCAACTTCATTATTTAATAATAACAGTATCTATCAAAATTAATTAAACAAATTAATATCAGAGATACAACTTTCTTTCTTCCAACAAATATGTTTAATACTAAAAAAAAAAAAATACTTTAAATTTTTTGAAACACAATTTTTGAAAAAATATAAGATTTACAGAAACATTTTAAAAAAGCGTTTCTGTAATTCAATAAATTTGATACAATTTTAATAGTAAAACCAAAATAAGAGCATGTTTCAGTTTATCCCAACAGAAAGTTTTGACAACCAATTTTTTTATGAATTTGCACCAATGAGGTGTAAAAATAAAATGATAAATGCAAAACTCATAAAAACTTACATTACTAGCCCAATCTTGTATATCAGCTTGAAAGGAGGACTCCATAAGTAGTAATGGAACAGTTCGAGCTCCAACTCCAGCTTCAATAGTTATTATGATTTTTCTCATGGTAAAAAGCATCTAAAATAAATTTAAATAATTTTTTAAAACCAATAAATTTTCAATAAAAAGAAAAACACTTTCAAAATTAATAGATGAAACGACACTAGTTAGTCAGAATTCATTTAATAAGAACTTATACTACATATTCATTAGAAGTCAGGAATAAGATAACCTATTAAACTTTAAGAAGCACAAGTATTTTTACACATAACATAAAGAAATATTTTAGTTGTCAAAAGAAAGCTTTTTTTTCATATAGCAATAGTTTCACAAAAACATGAATAAAAAAACTATTTTTTTACATAAAATGTTTTAACTGTGAAAACTGCACATAAATAAATATTCCCTCTAAGAAAACGTTCAAGAAACATCAAACTATGCAGAATAGTAGCAATAATTAGCACCAAATTGGACAAAAGATCAGTTTATTAATATTACTAAAATATGGTAACCAAATTAATAACAAAAATTAAATCTTGATGATTAATTTTCCACATATAATAAAATAGAAAAAATTGTTAAATGTACAATATTTTAGTGTATTTTTAGTCATATCAATTTTCAAGAGCTATAATTTGAATTATATATAATATGAAATCAAAACAAGAAAAAGTTACTATTATAATATACAGACTGGATATAGGTTTGAAAGTATAGTGTGGTAAAAAGGTACAAGAACCATGAATACCTAACAATGGATAGGTGTCTTCGTATGTAGATTAAATATTGCTAAATGAAATACAACAAAGTGAAATAAATTGTTTCAAAGTATGAATGAAAGAAAGCAGAATAATAAGAAAATTGCTATAAAATATATTTAAAAATATTTTACTAGTTAAATATACATTCAACATGTACTAGCATCCAAAAGTCCTTTCACTCAATTAATACATATTTTATCAGGATTATATATACCTTTAAAAATGGATGTTAATACTAATACTGGGTGATATGGGAATTTTAATACTATGATTTATAGTAATGAAATATCAATATTTAATGATATACAACAATATTTTTTCTGTTTTTCAAATTTATATTATTTTTTCCATTCTACTAATTTAATTATTTTCACATTGGATGAGTATTTACTACCCATATGAACTAAATTTTTTTCCAGAATTGTATCAAGCAATTTTAATCACGATTAAAAAACTACCAACAAAGTTAGCACAGTCATGATAATTATTTTATTGTTAACTTGTTGATAATTATTTTGATGTTATCATATTTGAAAATTATTGCAATATTTAATATTTGTCTTTGTCAAATACAAATATTGCGCACTTAATATTTAGTTTAGTACCCCTGTAAAATTAAGAATAAAATTCTATGCATAAAATACAGTGAAACCTCGCGTTACAGACACTCCTACAAAATGGACGCCTCTCATTCCAGCATTAATCTTCGATAAATAAACCATTATGTACTTTCTTTGCAAATTGGACACACCCGTTACTGGGCATGGACAGTCATTTATGCCATGAAACATTGTTTTTCTCTCTTCAAACCAGACACAAATTTTTTCTTAATTTGAAAAAAATATATATATATATATATTTATGGTTTAAATTCTAAGAAAAAATGCAATGTTATTCTGCCTAATACACCACTAAAAATGTTGTTAAGCTATTTCACTACTAAATCAATCATTCTCCTGTCACCTTACTTTACCTTTGCAAAGGAAGAAGAAAAAATGATACTGCTCATATGCAATATTTCAAATAGCGGCATCTTTTGATCTTTTCATATGGATCATACTGGTTATGAGAACCTACAAGCTGAAATGACACCTTAAATGCTCTCAATTCCTCTTCCCCACTGAAATTTATTCTATATTTCTAATCAATTTGGAGACTGTATTTAACACAGCTGGGATCTAGTCATTGAAGTGGTTATATAAATTAAACATTTATTCAGACATTTGACTGATGATCATTTGTAAATGTAACAACTCTGTATCATGCCTTACAGGCATGCCTTGCTGCTTTATTTTTTCTGTGCATTATGGAAAGTTTTCCTTCAAGGAGATATTATCACTTTTCCTATCAAGTGATGGGAAAGTGATTAGGGGGTGCAAACCAACTAATTAAACTGATCAAGTGACATAGAACTCACAGCTCCTATTCAGTATCATATGACTAACTTGAATGTCTGTGTAAATAAGGGAAACATTCACTTCTATGTATTACATTTAGAATTATGTATATATAAAATTTTTCATATATTCTTTTTGTATTGAAAAAGTATCTTTTAAAATTTAAATAAATATCATTGTGAATAGTTATAGATTATTTAAATATTTCTATACCATTGCAATATTCTAAAAAAAATTTATGGTGTTAAACTTCATTATTAGTGTAATCTTTCTGTAAATGGACAACTCTCATAAGGGGACAATTTTTTCGGTCCCAAGAGTGTCCATTTAACTAAGGTTTCACTGTATAATATTTAATAAATTTTATCAAACATACTTGTTGATGTAGAGTTGGTGCTACAATACTGATGGAGTCATCTTTAATTTCTGACATTGCATCTTCCGCAACAAGTGTTTCTAAAAACCAATGTTTGCCTTCTAAGGGTTTTGGTGTCCATATATCAGAATAATCTTCCTTTTCTTTAGAGATTTTATCTTCTTCTTTGGCCTATAAATCATTTTTGAAAAAATTTAGCAAATATAGAATTTTTACAGATAAATGAAATGAAATACAACAGATAGGAAGTGAGGCGGCTACGTTGACTGAAGTTAATCTACTTACCACAAACTTTTAAAAATTATTATTATTATTTGAAAAAGGAAAATAAGGATAAATTTAGTTCACTGATTTTATTTAAAAGAATATACTGTCATGCATTTAAAAATTACATACATTTATCCATTAGTTAATGGTTAATGCTGTTAACTAGTAGTACAGTAGAGAACCATTTCTCCGGTATCCAGATAACCGGAAAACCAGAAAACCGGGAAAAATTTTGATCGGTTTTCCCGCCATTTTAAACTAGAACAATTATGAAAAAAAAAGTGGAAATTGATTTCATCCTTGAAGTTGAGTAGAGGAAAATGTAAGGAAGGGGAGAATTTTTCCCCCCGTTTACCCAGAGAAACGTCATTTCCTCTGAGACCTTGAAGGCAGAGAAGGGAGGAATGTTTTATTTTTTCCTTTAGGCCGTCAATCAAGCTCAAGGGTGTGGTATGTTGATTTCGTTTTCTGTTTGATTTACGAGGGGGGTGGGGAAAATGCATTGCATGCATATCAGTGAACAGAAAAAGAAAAATATATTTATTTGACATCAACTAATAAAAATAAAATCTTTTTCTTTTGAATAAATTCTCATTCTTTGGAAGTGCGGTATCAATTGCAAGTTTTTCTTGGTGTGGAATCACATCTGCTGTAATTAAAAATCTTGTTTTTATCAACAAAAAAAATAAAATAAAAGGAGAATTGTTTATTAATTTAAACATAGGATTATTTTATGAAGCAGATTACAGTTTTGTTTTTCTGATTCCACTACGTTTGATTTTTTTTCTTTTCGCGATAAATTTCGCACTCAATAAATTA